AGATTGCAGGTGAGTATGTTGTCTTACAGGTATGCATCTTCAACCTTTAGCCTCAAAAGCTGTTAGGAAGCATCATCCACATGACTGGTAGCTATATTGTATGCAAATGAAGTGGCCGCCATCATCCTAACCACTAGCTATGTAATTGGCTGATTTCAGGCTTCAATTGCATTACACAAAGTGGTTTTTGGCAAGTAAAACTTTGAAAAGGAAGGCTAACCTCAATTTGTTAATAGTTTGAGCCAATGTGTCAAAGCAAGCTGCTACATCTACCTTATTACATGTTGAAAGTAAAAGTACAGAAGTTTACTTGCTTCACATATATAACCATTGATGGTACTGTCCAAGCAGAAGTTGGACGGTAAGTTTTTGACCTGACTTGAACCATATTAAACAGACTGTCCATCCACAAATGTTGAGCTTGACTGAATTGTCCTATTGATCAGCCTAATGTTACACAAGACCATTTCAAATTTAAGAAACATTCAGTACAGAACCGGAGAAAAAAAGAAAGATGTCATTCACATAGTTTGAAATGCCATGCACTAATGGATTGTATACCAGGTACTGACAAAAGATACATGTAAAAATTGTGCAGCTGATCATAACAGAACAAAAACTGGACACACAGCAGACTGAAGGTCATTTAGCTGATGAACCATAATTGCTATAATACATGCATGCATGCACATGCACACATGTGCTTATGTACATGTAGGGCTACCACAACTCAATTTCTGGTTTGTCAGACCTTAGTGAGCAAATATAAATGTATCCAGAATACAAATGTATATGTAGCAACTTCTTACTCTCATATTTCATCAACTTAGATGTTATATTGTCTCAGAGGAACAAGTAATTTCATCGGACTGGAATAAGGTCATAATTGGATGCAGGCTTATAAGGATAAAGGTCCCTCCTTCTTTTGTCCTCTTTCCCAGGAAACATGGGCCATAATTAGTAAGGGCTCATCGTGGTTGATATTACATGCAACGTTGATTTAGTAAGGGCTGTTCCATTCAATCAAGTGTTAAGTAAGGACAGTCAGGAACCTTTTGTTCTGAACTAGTCATCTAGCTTAATGGAAAAAAAACTGCAAGCCTCCTTAGAAAGAGGCCCATCGCATATTTCTGGACAGAATGTATGTCTGGGTGCCACTTTAAACCATGTTTATATCACAGTGTGGCCTGCTTCATTTCTTGTTACAGATTGGCCCCTGGTGTCATGTATCACAAAACCTGTGAATATTAAAGTGTTATAATGTGATAACAAAGTGATATCATGAAGGTAAATACTTCACTTCAGATTAGTTAGTACTTGTTGTTTGAAATACAAAATGCAGACTTCCCAGATAATTAGTGAAGTGTTTTTACTCCTGCAAATGTTCCAAAATGATGTTAAATTTGTTATCACAAGTAAAGTTCAACATCCAACAACAAGCCCACCCATAAGGACAGTCATAGTAGAAGGACGAATTCATCATGCAGTAACAGGTTACTTCAGGTCAGGTCTGTTATGACGTCTGACTTTGCTCCAACCTTGTTAAATAATTGAAAGGATGGATTTTTGGCAGGTTATTTTTAGGTTGCTGGAGGTTAGATAACGGTTCTGTATTGAGTTTCCTTGTACCTCGTTAAAAGGCGGTCCTTTATTGGGTGTAACTCACTCTATTGAATGTGTTGTGTTGTTTTGTGTGAACAGAGGATGTTCTTGCTGCTGATGCTGGAGAATGTGTCATATGTTTTGAAGATCTTTCCCAAGGAGACACTATAGCGCGCCTGCCCTGTCTGTGCATCTATCACAAAGGGTAAGTTTGTAGGTAGCAATAGCAAAATAAGGGTCTTACACAAAGTATTTTATCTCATGAGTTGAGAACTGCTATGTTGCCTTTGTTTGCAAAGTCGATTTCAGAGTTAATCCAACAACAAGCCCACATTTTTTTCTGTACATTTTCATACTTCATTGAAAGTGATATGCTCTCTTGTCTCCTATACAATGTCCTGTACACCTGACAAAAACCATGTTGGCATTGCATAACTGAAGGAGAGAGATATACTCTTAAGCATGTTGACTACAGCTTGTTGTGTTCTGTTTACAGATGTATTGACAAGTGGTTTGAGGTAAACCGTTCCTGTCCAGAGCATCCTGGGGACTGACTGGTGGGGAACAGGCTACCCAGGACTGAGGTACCGAACGGAACAACTTTATTCTGAATCATTTGTCCAATGCTATGGAAATATGCCTCTGGATAGCTACATCATATGATCATGCCGGATAGATGTGACTGAAGATCTGGAAACTGAAAATTGCGTCGTTCATAGTGTAGGGAAAATGGGTGGAGCCATCGTTGCTCATATAGTTGTTCTTCTGACACAGGACAGTGTTTGCTGCTCTGCATTGCTCTCTGCTGTCAACAGGGGGCGCTAATCCGAGACTGAGCTATCCTGGGACATGACGAGGGCCCTCCCCCTGGCAAATAGAACCAACAGTCAGCTTCATAATACAAATGTTGTAAAATTCCAATCAGCTCAAAGCAAAGAAGTTCATTTTTTGTTAAAGAAGACCAAAGAAAGAAACAATTTGAGCACTGCACTTTTTTTCCCTTTTAAATCAAAGTCTCTCGTAAAATCCTTGATAGTTCTAAAAATGCTGAGCATCATGCAGGTTAATGTAAAAAGAATTTTGAGTAGACTGGACACAGTAAACTTTAGGTAGGTATTTTGAATGTGATTTTTGGTAAATTCAGATGTCTGTATGGCATGCGGCAACAGTAGATCTGTCACTGCAAGGTTGATAAAGAATAGCGTAAAGTTTAGTTGTTAAAGTTTTTGTGAAACAATCTATATCCAGGGACCGCTATTGGCAGACATGGGGACTGATTCATGTCTTTCTGAGGTGAGATCAGGACGTGGGGATGATTTGAGTGACTTTTATGCAAGTACAAATAATGAGACTTCAATCCACAATGTCTGGCCATTCTCAGCAAAGCTAGTGGCTGTAAATATGATAATTGTATTTGATATAACTGTGCTTATGAATACAAAAATCCCTCCTATATGTTTTGTATAATAGCATTTTCATGTAGTTTTAATTCTGTACAAATGACATGTCCCCTGGAGTTTCTGTATATTTGTGTTCTGTTTGATTTTGTATGTGGATTTTAAGATTTGTTCACCCCTTTGATTATTAATGCTAATCAACTTGCTTTTACAAGGATGCTTGTTTTGTATGCAGACTTGCTTAAAACTGCACATTATATATACGTATGGTATTATATGCTTCAGCATTAATAGTAATGATATGATATTACTTTACCATAAAATTTGTTTTGTGCATGTATTTAGATACTTTGCATGTACATGTAATCATTAAATGTGAACAATATTATGTGTTTGTCTAGGCTTCGTTAGGAAATTTTTCTCCCTAAAATTGTTGGAAAGTATGTAAATGATTATGTTTGTTGCTAATAAGGATGACTGTGTGAGAAACAGACTGATATAATAACGTTTAAGATTTCAAATTGCTAGTGTTTGGGCTAGAACAATCACAGTGACGCCAGTGCTTCAAACACTAAAGAGCAGCACTGCACAAAGTAGGTGCTTCCTAACATAACATACAACTATTTTCCATAGGTCAAAGACAGAGAAACACAGTCAGTGTTCTGTAAAATTTCATAGCTACATGTATGAACAATAGAAAGGCCAGTATTTGCAAGCTAATACAAAATTTCTGCTGCAACACTAACTGAATTGTAAATTTTTATACATTCTAAACCCTGTAAATTAGTCAACAATGTACAAAAGATACAGTTAAGTCACTGACACCATTAAGGGCAGGTGAGTTGGTGGAACTGTGGCACAAGTAAAGATGACAACTTGCAGTTTTTTCTTGACCCTTGTCTAAAAGAGGATACCAAACTTGCCAGTATAACATCCAGGTTTACAGAAGCGATCATTTGTATCAAGTGGTAAAATATCTTTGTACCTATAAATTGGCAGAGCTGTTAAAATGGTGAGAAATAAGCCCTATTCTGGTAACCATGCAAAATTGACTGGAGATGTATTAGATGTTTGAATAGTACTGTGACCCAAATGGCAATGCTTTCTATTATGTCATACCAGTAATAGGACTGCAAAGAGATGATTTTGTCTTAGTGGAGTTCAAAGGAAATTGTTACTTATCTTAATTTTGATTCCACAGGAACACTTGTGCAAAATATGTGGTTGAATTAGAACAACCATAAATGAAATCAATTAATTCAGTCATGATGAAAGTCATTTATCAATTTTTGATGTGACATTAATGGAAAGGACTTTCACAAAGACATTCTTCCTTTTGAGAGAGACAAAGGGTTTCCAAGTACAATTATTGGAAACATCAAAACAGATTACACTGCAGAGCATTGTCAAGGATGGTATCTTGAGAAGTTTGTATCCTGTATGGTCTGTAACTCATTTTTATCAATGTGATAGTACCCTGAATGTGCTCTGTAAATATTTCATGCTGATGACGCTGCCCATCAGCTAGACAGTCTTGCATTCAATACTGATGATTTAGTCCAGTGTGTGTCTTTACTTGAAGAGGAAGGAAATTTCCATGATTGCAAACATTAAGTGACAAGCAGATGTGACTACTGTGCGATCTTGTTAGGGCAAAGCCAGTTTTGATTGCAATAAAGTGTGGCTTGTTATATTTGGGAAAGTGTGGTGTGGTATATTTGGTGCTGTTTTTTCATATAGACCATATTAAAGCTCTTGAAAAGAACACACTTAAAACATACATGCAGACAGTATATTGTTAGACCAGACTTGAGCACAGCTGGATGAACTTTTCAACAATGCTTAAAAACTGAAACTCTATTCCCTGCAAACAAGCATACAGGAATATATGTCTTAATACTAATACTTTTAGGTAAAAACCTGTCTACAGGTCAATGATATAAAACTAGTGGAGGACAGTATACGAATATAATGAGTGTTACAAAAATAAATATGAAAGAAAATGTATGTATAGATAGCATTAAAAAGTTAAAACTAATTTAATTTTTTTAATATATTCTATCTAAACAAACATTTTATATCAACCAAAAATGATATTCATTTTATCGATATTGATATGGACACAATGATAAACTTTATATGCTCAAAGAGTAGACCTCTAATACAATGTTGGTATCAGTATGACATACCTGGTACATAACAATTGATACCAGGCTACCAGCAAGTGCTTCAGTACAGTATGACAGGAACTAGACTATTGAAGTTGGAACATCTGACTTGCGTCTGACTGTAGGATGCTGGAAAAGAACACTAAGACTGTCCCGTGATCCCCAAGATTGTGGTTGGGGATCCTGCAATTCACTGTTTTCATCATGAGTTCTTAATACTGATTCAGATTCAGAAGTATCTTCACTTGTACTTGTAAGTTCTGTCCTGTAGTCTTCCTCTGTAGATGCTGGTACTCCTATTGCCCCATCTGGTGCTGGAGATGCTTCAGGTGTGTGGGTTTCCTGTTCTGAATCTTGTACCTGATCATCAGATTCTGAGTCATCCCTTGCTTGTGGTGTGTGTGGCCTGTCCATCTCTGACTCCTGCTCTTGTGTGAGTGGATTTGAACTTGTACCTAATGCTTCATCTGAACAGTACTTAGGTGGCTGGTCCACATACGGAGGTGCCAGACTGTAAGGCGGAGGTGGGTCAAAGGAAAACTGCTGTCTGACAGGTGGTGCTGAGGGCTGGTCTGACATGTTGAGGGACAGCTGAGAGCCACCACTCGCTCTAGGGCTGGACGGATCAGTGGATAGGTAAGCACTCTGTCCTGTGGCCACATAGGACAGCCTCCTCCCATAGTGCCAGCCCAGGGGGAAGGCTGCTGTCAGGGAGCCCAGGGATCCAGACTGTCCTGACTGTAAGCGCCCCATAGGTGGGAGACCTTGGTCTCTGTGGGGACCTTGGGTCTGTAAGCTGTGTGCTCGCATCACGTGTCTGTGAACAGGGGGCAAGCGGTGGTCCATGCTAGCCACCCTTCGTGGTCTTGCTGGAGCTCTGGGTCTGGAAAAACAAGAAGATATGAGTCATCTTTTAGCATCACATTAACATGAGATTTGAACCATGGCAGGCACAAGAGTTGAATTCTAGCATCCTTTTCTTTCCTTTGAGCTTTCCTTTCCTCAATAAAACAATAACTGAGTTGTACATGTACAAAAGAATAATACCTTGCTCTTCTGTGTTGTGTATGTCTGGTTGGCTGCTGAAGTTGCTGTGATAACAAGTCCACACCACTCAGGCTGCTGGTACGGCTTATCGGTCTGTGGAGACAGACAGAAACATGCCATGTCATGAGTCTTGTCTTACATTACAATGTATCTCACTAACAAGAAGCAAAGCAAACATCCTGAATCATGCTTACAAAACTGTCTTACAGCCATTGATGTCATACACATTGTACTGAATCAATGCCATGTACAGTGACTTACAAGATCTTTAACCTTAAACTGCACTGCATTTTCAGTCAAGTAACATGATGACATTATGATACAATAGCTAGCCTGTTTAAAAAAATACATGTACCTGGTTAGGTTGCGTCCACCACTGCTGTCCAGGGAAACATGTCGCCTGAGTGGCCTGACTCCAAGGACCCGCACTGGTCTGTCTGTCTGACTGCTGGCATCATCAGACTCTTGTTGCTCCAATCTACTGGTATCATCATGCTGGGCAGAAATCTGAAATTTCAAGTTTGACAAATATCACAAGTTTTAACAAAGAGAGAATAATGACAAATTCTAAAGATAACAGAAGAATAGATCCGTCTCATCGTGTCATCTTAGCTATTAGAGTAGATCTACTAGACTTAAAGTATAGTACTATCCAAATGTTTTGTTATGTACATGTAACTCACCGGTGACATGCTACCATTCTGCTGCTGGACTCCTAACCAAAAGCATCCCACGGAGAAACTGAAGACCAAGACTGTACACACAAACGCATACAGAACACACATGGTGATGACCACGTTCTGAAGGTTCATCTCGATCACATGGCAGTTAGGAGCTCCAACAAAACTGATAAATCCTGAAAGACAAAACAAGAATGTTATTAATGATTGTTGATAAACATGTCATCTCAAGTTACTGCTAGAAACTAATGTGGCCACCTGACCACAGAGTAAAGCTAACAAAGCTCTGCTAGTTCGTACCTTCTTGAGTGTGTGATAGGCAGGTGCAATGCCCCTGGTTGCTGGCATCTCTGCTGAAATTGCATGTGTGGAAGGTGCTGAAGAGTGGTAACACATGCATGCCTGTGACGATGGCAGCTGTCAGGCACAGGAGGATGCACACCACACAGCCGCCAATGGTCAACATCAGCTGAGGACAAGAACAACATGCCAACACTTGTAATGTACCTGGCAAGCATCACAGTCAGTATCATTTGGGGCTTGCACAGATTAAGTTCTCTTGACTTCTCCAAGCATCTTGCTACATTTTGTAGGTAGGTGGAATTGTAAATGTCTGCAAAGTAAACTGCACCATCTTTCACTGTTTCATAATTCTTTTTGACAAAAAAATTAACAGATTTTCACATATGATGTTTCACATTTAATTTCAAGTATTTCTCTCACCATACAATCAGTTTAGGCATTTAGTGGGGACGTTGATTAAGTGCCTACCTGTAGATAATGATGCCAAACTTACCAGATATTTCTCCGGATGTCTAGCCACCAGAATCACCAGTGACCCTGTGAAGACCAGCTGCAACAAGGTGGGCAAAACAAATATATGATATTTTATTGCTCCCATGGAAATGTTTGTCTAGAACTATTATCACAAAAAACTACTTCTGAATAAGATTAATACACCTGATACTATGTTATCTAAAGTGAAGCAGTTTATATAGTAGTATATTAGTATTATATATTATAGTGCATTGAAAGTTCAAAGTGTTTATCAATAATTCAGTTACCCCACTGGGCTCTTGTTAATAATAGAAACTCAGCAACTGCCTGCAGGGGTTTTTACCAGCAATTAAACAAAGCATGCTGGTACCATATGGTGGCACAGAGGAGATTACACTACATATTGACAGAAAATGAAATGGAGCATACTGTAATTGCGTTGACATATGTGGGTATGGGTCCTTCTGTGTAGTGCAGAGAAGTAGTGAGTGTACGGAGGCTGAAGTACAGGCACAGCTGTAGCAGGCCTGTCAGGATCACCACAATTCCTTGAATTGGGAAACAAAATCCTTGTCAGAAAATCAATTTTCCACATTGCACACATGGAAAGTACTTCACAACAGCTGGGGTCAGCTGTAATATTTCCAATATTCTTAAATCACACATGAATACTACATTTAATGTTACATCTACAACATGGCCATAGGCTGGTACTAGTAACTCCAAAATTGCTATCAGTACTGAAAAGAACTTGTTATCCTGTACTTTGAAAAGTATCATACCTGATGCTGCCAGCAGGCAGTAAGGATGAACAAAAGAACATGGGCGGTCCTTGTAGTGCACTGAGGAGAACACAGACCTACTTCCAACAGTGGAGCCAATTCTGAAAGAGCTCGGCCTCGTCATCTTTGCAGTTTGACCCTTAACAAACAAATAGACAACATGTGATGACTGTATTGAACAGGATATAACATAATCGTAAGTTAAACGTACATGAAACATGAACATTTACTTAAATTTGACTTCCAAAAGAATAGCAATAGCAGGTATAAACAACAGGTGTCGTCTTTCAACTGTTACTCATGGTGGCATGACGAACTTATTTAAGGGTGTGGTCTGCTATGCTGGCTGCAGTTTGATAAACACCTATTTTATGAAAAAATTCAAACTTAGACTATAACAAAGTGTTAAAGTTACATTGTACAAAAATTAGCGGTTAAATTGAACTCTTCTCTCTTCTACTGTGGTGGTGTTCCATGGCGTCTTCCCAATCATCCTTTTTCGGATTAAGGAAGTTGAACTAGTTTCAACAATGTTAAAACTATTTCCTTTCCTGTTCAGATCCATGTTCCTGGCATTTCTATCTCTTTGATTATTCGCAAAACCCTAACCTCTCCGCCGATATTTCCTGGTCGGTCCTACCTGATGTCACTGCAAGGATGGCACATAACTTCGTGATGCCAGATGATCAGTCAACCATGCATCAAAGTGAGACTTTGAAGCCATTTCACTGGACCTGCATGGCAAACTCGTCGTCTCAAGTGCGCACTTCACATCGTCCTGTGAGCAAAAGTATTGTATTTTAACAGGGTCATCCTTTGTTGTAAAAAAAACGACCACTCCCTTTTACGCTCGGATCGAACTTGAAAACGCCGGTAGCTAGCACTTGCTTGACGGACACAAAACTTTCAATAGCATATTTGTCATCTGTCCAAGTATCTTACCAGACATACATTAAACGTGCATACACAGCATATTTTGGGCTAGATTACTAAAAAGTCACAATAGCCTGACCTTTCTGCAGCTAACGGTGCACCGATCGATATGGCACCTGCACCTGCCTTTGTTTTGTAGTTTCCTTGTTTTGATACGCTGAGGACGATGGGCACGAGACCGGCATAGGCAAACGCTAAGAAAATCACAAATCAACGACCAAGGTAATAATTTTGTAGAAAGTTAGATACAAAGCTAGTATACGGTATAAATGTATAATGTATAGGATGCTAAATGGATACTCTGTCTGCATCAAAGCTACCATAAACACAGATATTGCTGTGCACTGTCTACACGATGCGGTGCGGTACCCTGAGCACGAGAATGTATTGGCCGCCATATTAGTTTTGTTACCATAGCGACAAAGGAAATGGCGCTCCCGTTCGCAACCGGACAGTTTTACCGTGGATATCCAGCGCAGTGGTCCACGTAATGTAGTTTTCTGAATCTGACACTGCTACAAGAAACCTCAACGTCTAAGGTAAGCAGAAGAGCTGTGGGATTTAGCCTTTTACCCACAAACGATTACTTTTGTGTTGTTGGATACGAGTGTACATGAACAGATTTACCTGGATGTAAATAACGTCAAGCCATTGGAAACGACTGGGGGAGGGGGGCAGTTGTGATATCTCGAAATCAGCAGCTTGAATTGCGGGAGCGAAAGTTTTCATAACTGTATAAGACCCTATGATTACTATATTATTCTCTTGTGAGTGTCAAAAATTGTAATGTTTCTCTAATTTGAGTATTTTTCATATTTCTAAAAAATAAGATTTCTTCATAATAAGTGTGTCAGTGGAACCAAGGATCTTGTATTCTTCTCCCTTTCCTGCCATCTAAGGTAGTTTTCAAGAAGCTGTATACAGAAGGGCCTTATGCCAAGGAACCCAGTATAACCTTGTTTGTGAATGTGTGTTAATTAACATCACACTGAAGAGATACCAAACTTTTTAAGTAATTGATTAATGCTGTCAAAGTAATGTTGCTATATAAATAGGGACATTTTACAGTTTGTTGATCATTGAGCTTGTCTTATGTGAAATCCATGTTTTCTAACAGATTTGACAAGATGCCGACGCCTACACAAGTTGGCAGTGGTACGGAAGGCCGGCTAGCGGGGACGGCAGGGGACATGCCCAGACTGAACTACCAGAGTAAGGTGGTCGCACCCAGGAACCCACGACTGGTGCGAGGGGAACTCCCACCACCAAAGGTAAGCATGTCCTGACTGATGCTATGAGAATCTTTGATAGAGATTACATTTAGGCCACATGAATTTAATTTTTTGGTTAGTGGTTCGTCTCTTAATTTTTTTCTGATTTGCAAAAAAAAAAAAAGAATCTGATTCTGAATCAACTCAAAAATGCTCGACATATTTTGCCCCCAGCAGTCAAGGAAATTTCTTTTCTTCCTAGTTGTTACAGTTTTTCCATCTATCAACGCAGTTCATTGTTTGATTCCAGTTGATTCCAGGTTATGTTAATACTTATCGCACTGTATGGTCGTTCCCCAACACTAGATGACACCTTCCAAGTTCCTCCATGAGATGGGTCTGGACACAGCAGGAAAACTGGCCAACACACATGAGATGCACCTGCCACAGATAGTGGAACTATTAGACATGGCCGAAACAACCCATCAAAAGGTACTTGCTTAGTGTATTGGAAGTAAGACTGGTTGGGATATTTCTAAGAGTCTTTTTACAGCATTTCTAATAATTTGTATAAGAATTAAATGATTCTCTTTATTCTTCAACAGTTTTCCCAAGTCAACATAGACGAAGCCATGTTCCAGCCTTTTCCTTCAGAGATCCGGTTCCAGAACTATGAGCCCCACCAGACATACGAAGTTCCACTGCAGCTTAGGAACAATGATGGGGTACACACTTCTCAGTTCTTAGCTATCAGTTTTGACTCGCTATAAGGTATAGACTCGCTGATAGGACTAGCTGTACAGTCTGAACTTTCTGAAGAATGTATCTCATACTGAGTCATAGTAGGAATGCATTAGTTAGCATTGATCATGAAACATGTTTTTTCCTGTGTAGGTGCCCCGGCTGGTAAAAGTGTACCAGACAGACTCCCCATACTTCAAAATCATCAGTCCCAACAATGTCGGGGACAAGGTCGCACCTGGCATGGCGAGCACCTTCCGCATCCTCTTCACTCCGCTGGAGAAAAAGGTGTGTCCGAAATTATGTTTTTACTAAGTATCCACCACATGACACATGATATCTTCATCATTATATGCTATAAAATCAAGAATTTGCAAGAACACACTAATTTCAGCACCAGGGACAGGATAGATATTTCCATAAAAGTGTGCATTGACATCTTTATTTCCTGAGCAAATATAATTTTCATAATTTAAGAAATATTAAAGGCAAATTTCAGTAAAGCATATGACTTAGAACTGTGACAGTTCTGAGTAAATGTTGTTTCATTTTGCCCAAATGTAGGACTATGTACATGAACTGCTGTGTATGACTGAGCGGGAGAAGTTTGTAGTTCCTGTGCACTGTGTTGGAGCACGAGCCATCCTGGACTTCCCTGACTATGTCAACTTCTCTGCCTGGCCAGTCAAACACACGGCGACACAGACTCTCCTGGTCCGAAACATTGGCAACAAAGACGCCACCTTTTCTCTAGCTGCACAAAGGTAAAGAGTGCCAGGGTCTTGTTTGAAGGCAAACAGATGCAAGTGGTTGTTTTCCTTGTCATCCTATTGATACAGTTTGAGATTATTTTCAGGTAATACTTTTTCTGTGCAAGCTCTTAAAAAATGAAATTTTTGTAACAATGCTCTACTGCAAATTTTTATATGAAAGGTCTGTGTGAGTTAGTTCTTTAAAAGCTGGGATGTAGGAATATTTTGACCTGATTGTCTTGTTTGCAATGACAGACCCTTCAGTGTGAGTCCGGCCTGTGGTGTACTGCCGGTGGGAGAGAGCATGCAGGTGACAGTAGAGTTCACAGCTCCAACCACAGGGGACCATGTAGCAGACCTGGTGCTCACATATGACACAGGTAAGAGAAAACACACCACACTGGAACAGTTGTTTAATCTGTGTACATCAACTGCTTAATGTTAGATCCAAATGTTTTTCCAGCTTATTTGATTATTTGCAAAGATGGGAGTGATGTAGTATACCAAATCACAGTTCTGATATGATTTAAATCTAAGTTGCTTAAAATATTAATTTGTAGTATTTCTGTATTGATGTATTTGGCTCTAAAAATAGATACATTCATCCCATGTCAGGTGAACAAATCTTTGTAGAGCTACATGGAGTTGCAGTGAATGCAAATGTGCGGCTGGATAAGAGTTCTCTCCGCATCGAGAACACGTACATCTCCATGGCGAACCAACGCACAATCAACATCGTGAACCGCAGCGATGTCATCGTTCACTACCACTGGAAACTGTTTGCCACCGTGGAGGAGGAGGGTCAGCAGAGAACCCACTACAGCTCAGAACTGTCTCACGAGGAGTCTGTGGAGAGAGAGCGCTTTTTGGAAGAGTGCATCACCGACCCCACTCTGAGAGACAAGATGTCCCTGTTGACGAGGACCTATGAGAACAGACGGAGGATCGTCTCAGGAGACAGCATGCTGTTCGCCGACGACGTCTACCAGATCGAGCCTCTGGAGGGGGAAATCTGGCCCAACCAATCAGCCGAGGTTTCTGTGATCTTTAAGCCGCAGGAGGCGAAGACGTATCAGCAGGTGGCGTACCTGGACATCACGGGCAGGGAGGCCCGTCTGCCGCTCAGACTACGAGGAGATGGAATCGGCCCAAACGTGCAGTTTTCCTTTGAGCAGCTGGACATGGGGAACATCTTTGTAGGGTCCATTCACACCTACGAGGTGAGCAACCTTGAAATGCAACCAGTACTTCATGCTGCTGTTATCTTTGTCATCAAAATAATCTTTTACTCTGTTATTTTGGCCATTTTTAGAAAGTATGATAAGAACATTCTGTATAGATTCTTGAGGGTCTGACTGTTGTATATTCTCCCTCTTCCTCACAGGTTGTACTTGCCAACAAGGGTGACATTGATGCCATTTTCAGCATCCTTCCCAACAACACACATTTTGGGCTGTGCTTCACCTTCAACCCAACAGAGGGCATTGTTCTACCTGATGGACACCAGGCCATACAGATAACCTTCAGGTCTGTACTTATTACTGAATTACTCGTAGGTCAGTTTATGATTTAATTTATTTGTAACAATGGTGGTATGTCATTGACAGATTTACTTAGTATATCTTAGATATCATAAAAGACTTTTCAGTGTACTAGTCAAATATTTTACAATACTGGTAATGTTGTGCTTTTGTTTTGTATCTTGTAGGTCTGCAACACTTGGTGACTTCCAGGAAGACTTCTATATAGCCATTGATGGTTCCCCACATAGGCTGAAGCTGTCCTTCAGGTAAAGAGAAACTGTCTTAAAATCAATTATGTGACTTGATGGCATTGATGTCACGAGTATTCGTGTGTTTGTAATGATTATGGAGAAGAAAGATCTCTGAGACACCTTTTTTTGTCATTTCACATTGGTTACCAGACATTTCATTACCTGGGGCTTGTGTTTTACAGGGGATGTGTCATTGGACCCACGTTCCATTTTGATGTTCCACGACTGAACTTTGGAGTTGTGTCTTATGGTAAGTACAGCAGTATTACTGACAAGTACTTAGAGAAAAAACAGATTACTTTGGATTCTCAAATAAACAATTTCTCAAGCTTTCCCAATGTACGTACCTGTACAACTTAATCACATTTGAGAGTAGATAAAAAGTAATGTTTCTTCTTTTTTGTCATCAGGTTTCCAGCACACCCAGACCTGTACCATAGTGAACACAGCGCTGGTGCCCATGACCTTCAGCCTTCACGTACCGGGAGACGGTACCGGCGAGCGCAGCATCTGTAGTCTGTTGGACTTGGAGGAGGGAACTCACGCCAGCGACCATCACCCCAACCAGAGTGTTTCCACTGCACTGCAGGAGTTCATCATTGTACCCTCCAGTGGAACCATCCCTGCACAGAGCCAAGTCAGGGTCCAGGTCAGTAACATGAGGGACTGGCATGTTAGAACAGTGTTAGAATTGATAAAAACACTCTATCTATCTCTTAAGATTGGTCTTGTTATTCAGATCAGTTTGAAATCTTTGCCTTCTTCCATATTAGCTTTTTGCTTCATGTAAATCCATGTTAATAGTGTGTACTCATGCTTTGTTGCATCCACAGGTGACCCTGGTGTCCAACACAGTGAAGAAGTATGACTCCATGCTGGTGGTGGATGTACAGGGTGTGGGCCAGGGCATCCTCATGCTTCCCATCGTGGCCAAGTATGTATATTTTAAGAGATACTGCAAAAAAAACCTTCTTGATGGCATTTAACATTGTGGGCTTGCTTCAAACAAACATGATTTTCTCCTATGATTTCAATTATCCGGAAGAGGATACACATAACTTACTGACATATATACAGGTTGTTGTTACAGCATATGCTTCATAGTTGTGATGTTGTTTTCCACAGGTGTATAGTGCCAACCCTGGCCGTTGTGACTCCTATACTGGACTTTGGGCGCTGTTTCCTGGCCTTTCCTTATGAACACAGCATCAAGATCCTGAATGACACAGAACTGCCTGCTAAGTACGACATCATACCACAGGTCAGTCCAGGATGCCATCAACAAATATCAAACATTCTATATGCCTTTATCTGGACAGTGTAAAGATTAATAGACATATGGTCCAAACATTAGCAAATATGATAAATATTTAATGAATTGTGGTTTAAAAGTGAAGGAATTGTATTAATTCATTGACTATTAAACAATGCAACAGTATATTCTATACACTCAAAATCATGCCTAATAAGTAATAATGGTCTCTTGATACACTTTCTCCTAAAATGTAATTAGTTTGTTCATGTCTGTTTTTTTGCCATTAACACCAGGCCGTGGATGATTCAAGCACCCTGACGTACCAGAGCTCCCAGTGGCGGGGGATCCTGCAGCCCCACACCGTGACAGAGATCCCCCTCACCTGTACAGCACAGCAGCTCAACGAGGCGGAGGAAGTCGTGTACATCCACATCTTTGGCAGTCAGGACCCTCCTATGGTAGGTTTCTTAGACCTTTATATATGGTTAACCTTTGTTCTGATTAGGTGACCTATTAGCATCAACAAAGTGAGAAAAAGTCCAAAATATGCTGGACTACACATGCTGGACTTTACATGATTCTTTGTTTTACTATTGCCAGCTTAATGATGTGTATAAAGTTGTAGAAGTTGACATGATCATGCTTCAATGATTTCATGATTTTGTTTCTGACAATGTTGTATTTGCGGTATACAGCAGGTGCATGTGTGCTGTGTGGGAGAGGGTCCAGTGGTGCATGTGGCACCCACGGAGCTGGACTGGGGAGATATCCAGGTGCTGACAGATGTGCACAGGACCGTACAGCTGTCCAACGAGTCACTGATACCAGCACCCTTCTCTGCACAAATGGTCAGTTTAGAAGTTGTTGTGCTTTGTTCTGTTTTGGTTGGTATGACTGATGCAATATATTTGTATAGTAAAATAGACACAGTGTTTCTGCTGTGCAAAATGCAGCAGAAAAGAATTTAGCTACTCTGAAGGTCTATCAAAAAATAATCAATTTGCCTGTTATTTGATAGGAGGGTAAGGTAAGGTTTTGCCAATGTCTGCAGCAGCTATACACATGCTCAACTGGTTCTCAACTGGCTTCAATTAGCAGAAAAGACTTGACCTACTCTCAAGGTTGTTAAAAAAATCAATTTGCCTAGTATTTGATAAGAGGGTAATGTAAGGTTTTGCCAGTGTCTACCATGTCCATCTTACCAATTGCAGCAGCTATACACATGCTCAACTGATTCTGTACAGCTTTTCACAATGTAGATGCTGACAAGCCTGTTGTTTCCTCCCTTGCCCTACAGATGCGGCCGGGGTCTGTGTGGCGGGTTGAGCCACAGGAAGGTGTGATTCCTCCGGAGTCTGCCCAGGAGCTGGTCCTCACAGCACACCTGGACGACTGCATCAGGTTCAAGGACAAACTGTACATCCAGTATCCCAGCAGCCAGCCGCGTACCATCGTGGTCCAGGCCTATGGACATGGCACCACCATTGTAGCCAACCCCCCAATCACACCTGCCGTTCACCTGGGCCCACACTTCAGGTAAGGACACAACTGTGAGATATACCTTCACTAGCGGCACTCCAGTGAAAATCCATCCCTCTCTATATCAGTGATGAGATATTCTGATTTTAAGCATCAGGCAGGTTTTACTTTTTTTATAATCCTGTGAAAGGTAGAAGTATTGTAAGTGACAGCTACTGGCCATGGTGCTGATATAGTGCTGTTCTTGTGCTGCAGTGACAGCCCCTGCCAGTACCACTTCCAGCTGACCAACAAGGGCCGGCGGCACCAGCAGCTGTTCTGGCACACCGAGGGGTTCCCCATGTACCGCATCCGCAGGAACACTTCCAACAACAACCAGGTACAGCTTTGATAAATTCTCTTTGATGCATGCTCCTTTTTTATCATTTTCTACCCATCTCCTTACTGATTATGACTTTTGGTGCTCTTAGTTTTGGAGTTTCTTAGGTATAAAGCAATAACCTTTCAAAGATGAATGAATGTCTGTAAGTGTAATAGACCATTTTATCATATACAAATTTCCACTTCCCCTCCCTGACAGAATGGTCCAACCAGTGAACCCATCTTCCACCTGAAACCCCACCGTATGGAGCTGAACCCGGGACAAACCATTGATGTCATGTTGGAGGGGCTGACAAAAAAGTAAGTTACACTGTGGCTATTTGTTTGATGACTTTCACAAATGCTTGCATGTTATGAATTTTATTCAAAACAAACACAACAAAATATCCTTGAGATATCTAAAGAACTGTCATGTCCTGCCACTTCAGACCCCAGATCTTGCGTGAGCGTATGTTGTGCCATGCTATCATTGGTCAGACCAGCGGGAAGGAGCACATCATGACGATGGACATCAACGTGGAGTTCATCGCTCCACTGCTGGATCTCTCCACTCGCAACATCAACTTCAGGATAGACAAAGTATGTCTCTCCTGCTGCAATACAATGTGACAATGTTTTATGTATGGTGTTGAAATAACTTATTTTATTCACATGGTTTAACCGGAGAGAGAGAGAGAAAGACAGAGAGAGAGGATTTGTGAGCATTAGATAGCAAGCACATAATGTGCTTATAAGATCCTTTGCTCAAGAACATAAAACATAAATACAGGTTGAAGTAACAAATACAAAATGTATAACGAACATAAAATGAAACTGACTTCTGATATTCCTTTATCACAGGTAGTGAATTTTAGGCTAGGAATTCTCTAGTGTACTTCCCTTAAAATATCTTATGTGTTTCTGTAATGTAGTTGTTCAATGTTGTGTTGTTTTGCTGCCATTTGTACAGAACCCGGAGGATGTGCTTGAGGTTCAGCACCAGCCCCTGGAGCTGAGGAACATGTCCTCCCTGCCGCTCACTGTGCTGCTGGATGTAGACCACCCCTTCTCCCTGCTGTTCTCAGATGGAAGATGCATCACACATTCGGTAAATCACTTCTGTATTTCTGCTACTCTTTGTATGGTATTTTGTGATAGCAAGCTGAAAATGGGTAACATGCAGTATATAAACAGTATACAAATGTGATATGGGAAGGATGCAAATTCAATCAATCAACCATGACAAAGATCGTCTTCGGGTTTTCAGTTACAGAATTACCATTGTTTCAGCACCAAGGAGATGGTCAGTAACTGTGATGAGCAGGACAGTAACATGACACTGTATGGAAGTTGCTAACATAGATGTAATTGCTAGTACTTGCATTTACAAGACCTTTCGGGACACAGTTGCTAACATCTGTTTCTCTCACAGGAGCTTGTTCTGGCCATCAATGAGACCATCACGCTCCAAGTGCAGTTTGACCCTGCATACTGCAGCGATGCTCACTCAAGAACAGAGATCAGCAACCTGAGCATCAGCTATAAAGAGCACCCCAGCAAGGTTTGCTTTTGGATATATACTATTTTGTATATTTGATAATATAGCACATATCAGTCACAAAGTTTGGTATGTTATCATTATGCTCTTTTGGGCTAACAATCTTTTCAGTCTTTTGCTGGTTAGAAACGACCACCTACAACCATCAGATGCTTTTCACAGTCTTTCATATTAAAGAAATTTCATACAAAAAACACAGAAAATGCCCAATTGGACATTGAGAAGAAGTGGTTAAAAAATCACATTGCTCACACTGTCCATCTCCCTTTTCCACAGGATAAGGTCCAGTTGTGTGCTGAAGTCCACTTCCCTAACCTCACCTTTGAAAAGATGGACATCGACTTTGGGTGCATCTTGAATGACACAGAAGTGACCCGTTACCTGGATGTGACCAATGAAAGCCCCATGCCAGTCAAGTACCGCTGGTCCTTCCTGCTGGACGATCCCACTCAGGCTATCAAGTACGTCATCCGCCATGTTATCTCTTCAGTAGAGAGGAGGTTACCATCTCAGAATAAGAAAAAGTGGTGTTCAGTCTGGTATCTTTCAGTTAAATGTGTACTTCTTTTGGGGTTGTTAGTTCTGCCACTTATTCTGCCACCTTTTCATTTGGTTTCTACCTTGTAATTATGATGTTTTTTTTAATTCAGATTCAGCAGACAAACTGAGGAAGGAGAAGTAGTGGAAGAACAGGTGCTGCCGGAACACACCAAGCTTCAGGTACAGATGAAATAGAAATAATTGGGAAGCAAATACTGTAAAAGCTTCAATGAATGCAGGCTTGGTAGATTTTGCCTGCAATGTGAAAATCAGACATGTCAATTACCAGATGACTCATGTTTAATGACAGTACTTAACTTCATATATCTTTACATTGTAAACAACAACATATCCAACTTTTACCTCCCTCAGTTACCCCCAGAGGAGGAGTTTGATGAGACAGTTGTCATGGAAACAGGAGGGGGTGAGAAGGAGCCTGAAAAAGAGGACTTTGACCTTGAAGGGGATGACAAGTACGACGAGATGGTCCGAGAGGTATGACAACAAAGATTCCTGAATTATATGGGATCCATTATTCCCTGTAAATTTCACACTTTACATAATGTACTTTAAGTATTCATCATCTGCTATTGGGTCTTTTGTGTATATAGGAGTGTGTGTAACGGAAAACTCACCATTGGTTTTAACTTGCCTTGAGTCATCTATACAATACGTAATGTCTTTTCACTTAAACAAAGTGAAAGTTTGGTGTTGTTAATCTCTTGTTCTCCTGACTATGCCAGGTCCTAAGCAGAGAAGAGATAGGAGCTGAGGAGGCTGAAGAGGAGATGGCACTGGAGGATGTTCCTCCAGACACAGGCAGACAGAGTGTGGTGAGTCGGACAGCTGAGAGGCCGACACTGGAGGAACGACGGGAGGTCCTGCCTCCTCTGCCATGGCTGCAGAAGGAAGACCCCACCCTACAGCTCAGCACAGGCATCGAGGAGGTAATACTGGTCTTCTTTGTACATGATTACATTTAACAGCTTGATATGACTGATGTCTATGTGAAGAAGTACAAGTTTGAAGGGAGCATCCAAGTTAAGGTTGACAGCACTAATCAGTATCTTTGATACAGAACCACCACTGATTCAGCACCAAGGAGATTTTTTTTTTTTTTTTTTGCAGTTTCTTTCCAAGACAACTTAGCATCACTTCATGGATCAAACATGATTATTTTTGTCTGTTTATGTCCTAATTATATTTCCACTTCCTACCAAGAACCAAGATCCTTAAACTGTAACAAGTCAGGACATTGTTTTTTAGACTGATCATTCCAAACCTACACCAGAAGTTAAACATGTTGTTCCCCTTTCCCAGGTGTTTGACATCCTCCCCCTGTACGGGATCCTGCACCCCGGGGAGACTCAGCGCGTGTCCTTCACCTTCTACGGCCACTCCGGGATCGGCTGCAACGCCACAGCCATCTGCGAGGTGGAGGGTGGGCCCACCTACGAGGTGACCCTGAAGGGCGAGGCTTCCCTCTTGGAGTACAGACTGGAGGGGCTCGACATTGACTACGGCAAACAGGTAAGACTATAGCCTCAGAATAGGGCATATGAACTATCAGTTTCCTTAGGGAAACACTGTCCAGTGATGATAATGGTATTGAAGAGTTTTCTTGCCACATCTGTGCAATATAGTTGTAGCAATGTCAGAATGAAAGAATACAAGAACAAGAAAGACCTCTCTCAGCAGGCTCTGGACTACATCTTCTTTTTTAACAAACCTGCCATAATCAAGAGTAAGCCTTTTTGATACAGAAGTGATCTCTTATAAGCATGTTACTGCTCGATATGTTACTAACCCCATGTTTCTTGTTCCCAGCTATTTGACCAGGTAGCAGAGGCAGAGATCGTGCTCTATAACACCGGCAAGGTGGACTTTGAATTTGCTGCCCTGAACATGGACCCAATGTTACAGAACAGCCCCCCTCCAGGCATGCCTGTTCTGGTCCCTCACACAGTAAGTACTGTATTTATGATAATATTCAGGATTGTATCTCCAAGTTGTAGATATCCATTTGACTTGAAGTGTCACTGAGCTTTTATACTACGTTACATTGTTTTATCCTTTCAAAGCTGTAAGTTCTGGGTTTAACATCACCTCCTTTCCCCAAAGGGTCAAGTTGCAGCCAACAGTCAGCAGACTCTCACCCTCAAGTTCCTGCCAGGAGCTCCTGAGAAGTTCCACAAGAAGTTTCAGGTGAGGAAGTCTTTTTAGACTTAACAGTCCAGTCAGTCAACAAGGAGCATGTAGTGTATGTAGCATCTGATATATAGATACATACAAAATCATGATGGTGATTGCACTCATATACATGTAGAAGAAAAGTAGAATAAGGGAAGAATAATACTGAATCTATTTGAAACAGAAGTTTTCTGTCATGAAAACTACAGAAGTTTTCTGTCTTGAAAAGTAATTCTCTTCAAATGACAAGTGTACAGATACGTCAGTTAACCCCTACTTCTATCCTGTAGATCCAAGTTGCTCACTTTGAACCAGACATCATCACGGTGCACGGGGAGGGAATCTTTCCACGCCTGAGCTTCGACCTCCCCCGCCTGCCTGACGAGGATGGTCAGTACACCAGGCTGATGGCGCAGGCTCGGGAAGCCCTGACCGTGGAACAGAAGGTGCAGAAACAGGAGCCTGTGAGCCGGGCACAGAGTGAGCTGTCTCTTCATCCTACAGGAGGGACTGAGGAGGTGTTTGTACAAGCAGAGGTATGTCAGCCATTGTCTTCTTCAACAACAGTACATGATACAGTTGGAGACATTGAACAAACCAGGTTCAATGTTAATACTCAAATCATATCTTCAGTTGAACCTCAATTCACTGATTTTCCCATGGGACATGCAAGAGAAAGGTCTATAATGTAATGTACAGAATCTGATTTTTAAAAATACTTTTGGTATGAACAATCAATCATGGTACTTACTAATGTTTTGACTCCTTTTCCCAGCCTGAGTTGCCCAGTGAACTGGACCTGCAGATGGAGGTAGAGCGCAGGATTCTACACCAGCATGCCACCTCCGTTCATCCCAAGCTAAAACTAGCTCAGCCTCCAAATGTCCAGAAGAAGCTTCGCAAGCAACTCACCCAGTAAGTACTTTGAAATGTATCAAGTTTGTATATGAAAACACTGTCATCAGTGTAAGTAGTAAGACTAAATGGAGGATATGCAAAAAGAGCATGTTCAGTTGTTGATACTTTGTTTTTCTATCAGCAGAAAATCAAAACTCTTATCGTAGTGCAAGAATAATTCACATATTCCCATAGTTGTATAACTTCTTTCAGAAAGATGTCTGACTTAGTAATGTGCTTCCTTTGCTACAGCACGGAGTTGCCCCACTACCTCCTGCATTTTGGGTATGTCGTGTTGGGGGAAGTCCGGATACACATCGTACGTGTCACAAACACTGGCTACGTCCCAGTGTCCTTCAGTGCAGACCAGTCGCGCCTGCATCACTCCGGCTTCCACCTGGGGCTGCACCACATCCACTCCCTACCCGGCTACCCCGACCACGAGACCATGGACTTCCAGGTCACCTTTGACCCACGAGGGGCCAACCTGGACCTGGGTGAGGTAGAGGCCACTGTGCCCCTCCACATCCAGGGTGGACCCACCATCATGCTGAGCCTGAGGGCCACTGTCACCATGCCAGAAATGCAGGTATGGACAAATAGGAATTAGATTAGGGTTTATGGTTCATCATCACCATCATTGGTTTATTCAGAATAAAAGATCTATTTATACTATTGCAGTAGTCACTGAATTGCACCAAAATTTCCATTACAACACTTTTGTTTTATAAAAGATTGGTTGAGATTAGCCTGTTAGATAATGGGTTATGGCAATGAGCAGTCTACAAATATGTGCCTTAAATCAATGGGACATGAGAGCCTCTCAGTCACTAGTCACTTTACAGCAACACGAAGACTGAAAAATTTTGAGATGTGCCACTGTTGTGAACATAACTACAGTTTAGTAACATGTGTGGTCTCTCTCATGTAGGTATCAGAAGAGGTGTTGGACTTTGGCACTGTGCAGTGTGGTCAGTGTCAGGTCATCACGGTGCAGCTGTACAACCACAAACAGGTGCGCTGTGAGTGGTCATCCATGCCACAGGAGAAGCAGAAGAAAGGAAAGGTGAGGTCATGGCCCATCCAAAAGAGCTGTCATTATGTTAAGGACAACAATGGTCTGCATTGTGCAGCTGTTTCTGTCAAGTAGCCATGTACTTCGTAGCTGTAAGTTCATGAAGTGGAAATGGTATCATTTTTAGAAAAAAGGAAGTAGAGAAAATGTGTACTGTAACATACCCAGGGCTTGAGGAGTCTAGTTGAATTTTACAAATACTTAGATCAAATATTTTGCTTATTTGCTGAGAGTTGCCACTATGATAATTATCACTCTAGTCCCATATTGCTGGGTTTGACATTTATAAACTGACGCTATGGTGTGTTAAAACTTCCAGGTTGCTAGGCATGTTCCCATGCACTTACGTCGTCAGATGTGGCCAGACAACAAGCCCAAGCCAAGACATTTTGAGATCATGCCGTCATCGGGTGTGTTGTTGCCAGGGCAACGGGTCAATGTCCAGGTCAAGTTCATGCCAACAGAGGAGGTACGAGACACCTGATATGTTTGAGAGAAACATTTATTACTATCATATTATGTCTTATATAATGTCATACATAATGCCCATAATGTATTCTATGTTGACAACATGACCATGAATAAAACCAAATGTTATCCTCACACTGCCACATGATAACCAAAATATGTTTTGCATGTAGGTTTAGCCCTTACACCAATCTTGTATTTGTTTATTTAGTAAGAGCAGAAAAATTGGTATATTGGGAGACTGTTGAGTAGGTAATAAGTAACAACTATACATTTGTAAGATATGACTTCACTCAATGAATAGCATAGTTCTGTGTGATATGAAATGCTGTACATTATGTATTACAAGAAAAGTAGTATTGTTCATAAATTACTTACAACATAAGTCATCCTTCCCTGTTGTTCCCCAGACCCTGTACCACCAGCGGCTGCCCATCCAGCTGGCCCAGAGCAGCCGGCGCCTGGTGCTGCTGGTGTCCGGTCAGGGCCAGGAGCCCCGGCTGGAGTTCAGCTCCTCCCTGCTGGAGTTTGGACCCATCCTGCCCCACAGCAGCGGGGATGAACAGGAGATCATGCTCAGGAACCCCGCAGCCTTCCCCATCGAGGTCTACTCCCTGGAGTTTGACCAACAGTATCTGGATGAGGAGAAGGTTCGTACAATATAAATTGTTTTATTGCTCAAAAAACATACATAAGAAGGGGCGAAAACCTCTCCCCGAATGAGGTACAGTTTGTTTCATATTCAAAGACTAATTATAAAGGCAAATAAGACACTGTAAAAAATGTTGCGGAACTGTTCTTTGAGGCCAGTGTTTCCTGTTTTTTCCCGTTTACGCTATTTCCCATTTTTTCCTCAGTATTTGCATGTTAAAACCATTTTTACAAAGCAAACACAAAATTGAGAACTTATTTTTCCCACAGATTCTGCGCTTGATGAAGGGATATGATGAACAGAACACCCTCCTGCTGCCGCCCCGCTCCCCGGGTGAGGGCCTGCCATTTGAGCTGCAGGACTTCTATCAGGAGTACAAGAAGAAAGAGGAGGAGACCCAGCAGCCTGGTCCAGCAGAGGTGGAGAGGACTGGCACACAGCAGGAGGAACAAGGTAACTTATCCACAGATGGGTCATGATGTGAAGTGTACTGTCAGCTTTCAACCAATTGAGTTTTTTTTTGTATGTTGGCCAATTACCAAAAAAATCAGATGACACAATATGATAAAAAAGAAAAGTGGCAGAAATGTTTGGACAACAGAAATTTATATAATCATGTATGTTGAATAATAATCAAGTCTGAATTCAAAGCAAAGTATTTGAATACGCATTCAAATATCACTCAACAATAGCATGACCTGGCCTGAGCACATAGGCAGGCAGGCATAGCATGACATGGCACATAATATATATATATTTGTATAATATAATATAATATAATATAATATAATATAATATGTATTGTATATTTGGTACCAAGGACAGGCCTGTACTGCATGTATGGATAGTCTTCAGCACCAAGGACAGATATGTATTGCATGTATATTTAGTGTTCAGCACTCCCAAACTTTCCCCATATCACAGACTCAGAGTGATGATGTGTTGTGTATTTTTTAAGTATTTTTATGTCTTTGCCACAGGACCTGATGGAGAGAAGGAGGAAGGTCCGGTGGGTTTGGACCTGGATTCTGCCACACCCCAGCCATCGGTCCCAGCAGCCCCCAGCACCAGAGCCGACCCTGACAGTGCCCCTCATGTGGAACCATCACCTGATGATGAGCACATGGATGCAGGCAAGTCCAGTTTTTACAAAAACTGCTACAGGACTTTGTCACGAAATATCAAGGCTGGAACATTTTGAGGAGAAAGAAGATAGTTGACAAAGAAATGCAAAGCAGCAGAAAATGCATTTGCACCAACTGATAACATGGAAAGATTTGTTCCAACATTTCTGAATGGCCCATGATGTTGCTAACAGTGGTATAGACGTATTGACCCAATCAACTGACATGTTGAGTAAGTTGGTTGCTACACAAGTTTCAAGTTAGGAAAATGGTTGAGAGGTTAAATTCTTTTTTCTTTGGAAACATCTAAACATTTTTGTACATGTATTTATAGATGGAGAAAACCAAGAGGCTGCTATTGTTGGTGTGGGTGAGCTGGAGATCACGCCTGTCTCAGCATCCATTGCTCGGCACCTCGGCATTGACCTCTCACCTGAGGGCAAAGCAGCGCGTAATCGTCGTGGCATCGCTATCGTGGTCCACGGAGCCCCACTGTCTGGTAAGTGCTTGATTGGCTTCTGTATTTTTTGTGTCAAAGTTGGATGAAATGATCAAATTGATACAATTTTTTGATTCTTGAGAAAGTCAAAACTGGCCAAATTCTGTCTCATCGCTGTCATTTTCCCAACAAATGATGATCCAATTGATACAAGTTCAGAAGATTTAGTACATTTGTTTGGCATTATTCCAGAAAATAGTAATAATAGAGTAGCTTGGAATTAACTGTTTTGTTATTCTGACATGTTTCTTCAAATTTGCTCCAGGTAAAACTGGCACAGCAGTGACATTAGCCAAAACCTACGGTGCAGCCATGTTAACCATGGATGGCATCGTCCTGGAGGCAATCTCCAGTGGGAACACCCCGTCAGGTCTCCGCGCCCGGGAGCTGTGTGCTGCCGCAGCCAGGGAGAACGCTGCCAAGGACGAGTCCACCGACGCTGACAAGAGCACGGCTGTCCCCGGCAGCCTGAGTGTGGACGCCCTGACAGCACACACAGCAGCGGCAGGGGCAGCAGCAGGATCAGGTCAGTCAGCACAGGTCCTGTTTACGGCTGTGGCAGTGTAACCAACATGTGCCTAGTCTAAAGCTTCAGAAATAATCAAAAGGATGTATTATTACTGATAGATACTTAACAAATGCATCATTAAAGCCATTGCTGAGCAGAGTAAATGATTACCTCATGGCCAAAATTGATATTTCTATTGATTATTCTAAGTGATAAATTCTATGTGTAAAACTAAATCTGATCATGGCATTTTCGTTTAATCCTGCAGGTTCTGTTAGCCTGGCAGGGGGCGCTGCTCCTTCCATCATCTCTAATGTGAAGAAGACCAGTATTGTGAGTGGAGCCCAGAAGGCTGGAGGCAGCAAGGCTGGGGGGAACATCTCCACTGGTGAGACATCCAGCCAGCCTGCAGGAGGTGATGACCAGTTTTCATGTTTGCATTTTTAGTTAAGATTGTACCACCTGTGAACATGGGCTCAAGAGAGTTAAAAAAACACAAGTGAGTGTTGAAAACACAGTTGTTCAAGTTGTGCTATATTGTCCAGCAGTGAAATTTACTCTGCTGAGTCATATTTCAAATGCCTCTACAACATGCAAGACAGTGCAAACTTGTCTGTCTTTAGACACTATGTGCCTGAAGTCATTGGCTTGAGGTGGGATGAGAGGAGATAGTGCAACCAGTGTCTTAGTCAACAGATTTTGCTACTGTGTAGACAGATTTACAGCTGTAGTGTATCATTGCAGGTGTTCCTCAGTACTAATGGCTTTTGTGCATTTCTTTTATCAGGTACCTCCAGCCCCCCGCCAGCAGCACCCATCCAGCGCAGGCTGAGTGTGAGTGCCAGTGTTGCTGGGGAGGAGGGTCTGATGAGCTGTGTGCTGCCTGAGGAACTGCTGGTGGAGATCCTGGCCGAGAGATTCCAGCTGAATGACTGTCACCAGGGCGTGGTCATCGACGGGCTGGAGACCCTGTTCAGCCCCAGTCAGACCGCCGCCGGCCTGGCCGTGCTGAAGGCCTTCAACAACAGGAAGTACATGTACTTCATCACCCTCGGCCTGGAGATGGCTGTGCTCAAGGCTCGCAAGCAGAAGGAAGAGGAGGAGAAAGGTGAGGAGTACTGTTTCTAATATAACCTGCATGTCAATAGGAACTATTTAGTTTTCAATTCAATTCTGTATCTGTATTTGTATAGCCGGTATAACCGCTCTTCGTCATAAGACCAGCTTCGCAGGCATGCAACGTGGCAACAGCTATTACACTGATCAACCTGTTACATCCAAACTTAGCGCATCTAAATGCAGGAGTTGTTGTAGTAGTAAGCATAGGGTTTAAATAACTGTATGACACATAATGATTGTACATTTCAGAACGACTAGCACGCCAGAAGGAAGAAGAGGAGAAAGCAGCACTGGAAGAAATGTCAGAAGACGAGTATGACAACCTGTCACCTGAGCAGAGGGCTGAGATTGACAGGAGACACCTGGTCGCCAAGAAAGAACGCATGCAGAGGTCAGTGCAGTGCTGAAAAATATGATGAACAGAATTATTGGAGGGGGTTATTTTTTCTCTGAGGGTGTTGAAAAATATGAACAACTGTTTCACACATGCACACACATCAAGGTTAATGTCAACCATCACACATTCTCTTAGAGTTTTGATTTATACTTAATGTAGTCTTGAGTGTCACTGACTTGCTACCTACAAATGTTTCTTATCTTGCTATAGGGAGATGGAGGACAGACTGGAGAGGGAACGAAGAGAGCGTGAGCTTCAAGCACAGCTGGAGGCCAAGAGGGAGGAGGAGGAGAGGTGAGGAGTATTATACATGCATCAAGTGTATTATGTGTGTTGTAACCGTACATATCAGGCAAGGTATCTGTGTACTGTGCAATGTTGTTGTACTGTTCAGATGAAATAAGGTTATGTGGCATACATCTGTAAGGTGTTTGTAAGGCGGATGACCAAGTCATTCCGTATTTCTTGCAACTACATGTAATTACATCAATCCTTCAGTCATATAACTCATGGGCTGTCATTGTTTTCACCAGGCTGAAACACAAAAGCAAGCGTAAAGGAGGCAAGGACGACGGAGCTGCGGGTAAGAAGAGCGTAGCTGGTGGGAAGCCTGGAGGAGCTCCGAGCCAGGATCGCGTGGCGGCCCTGAAGGCTGTCAGCTCCCACGGAGCAGGAGAGCACGGCGCTAAGGGGTCCCCATCTGCTGCCGGCAGACCGGAGTCACATGAGACGGACAAGAGTGATGAGAAGGATGACGGCGGAAAGTATGTGATGTCACAGTCTGTGAATTATTCTATGATTTGATTCAATGACTTGAATCTAGTTGTAAGCATATGCTGAGAATACTTTCTGGAGTAACAGCTTTGTTAAAGCTTTAATCAAGCCTTGGCCTAGGCTCCCATCATCTTTTAACAAAGTCTGTTGGAATTCTGTCCTATCAGGAAGAAGAAGGGAAAGGATGGCAAAGGACGCCCTGTATCGACAGACGTGACAGCTAAGGAGTCCTCGGCTACAGCAGCAGAGGAGCCTGTGCCAGAACCACCCCCAGAGGAGGTCCAACTGGCCAACAGGTCAATATTCTTACCTGGATGTTTTGTATTTTGTCAAGTATAGGAAGATGGAAAATGCCAAATGTGAAAACTACGCACTTTTTGATTCGATTTGGCCCATCAAAGGTTGACCATTTGATGACAGCAGCTTCAGACATGAAAATTTCTTGTCAGAAGACTTACACAAGGCCGATTCTACACAGGTTCAAAGCATATGAGCACACCCAAAAGGAGATCTCCCCCATCCTGGAGTTCTGGGACCGCACACAGCTGATCGTGCACAGGCCCACAACACCAGATGAGGAGAAGGAGTCTGCTGACGACCAGCCACCACCCTCCGCCAAGAGAGGTCGAGCCAAGGACAAGGAGAAGGAGAGGATGGAGAAGGAGAAGCTGGAAAAGGAACGCCTGGAGAAGGAGAAGCTAGAGAAACTGAAAGAGGTACGATGTTGTTGTGGTTCAAAATTTTGTTTTCATGCTGTTGTAAAACTTAGTATACCAGAAACAACTGTCATTGTTGATGTTGTTATGTTTGATATGACTAATTTGCATGTGTCTCTCTCCAGGGTGCTGGCACACCCACCTCTCAGCTCGGAGGAGAACCTTTCCCAGCTGATAGTGACAAGGGTGGGGAGGAGCAGACCAAGGAGGAGCTGGGGGTTCCACACATCATCTTAGATGCCAGCGACCCAGATGACCCGTGTGGGCCCCGCCTCCTGACCTCAGGACAGCTTCCTCCAGTGGACGAGGTGTGTTTGCATTCCTGTATACTTAGAACTGTATAAACACTACATAACAAGAGATACGTGTTACAGTGCTTCTGACAACCAGTTCACGTTCTGTGGTGGCCATGTAGTGGATTTCCAGAATACAGATTTAAGATAAAAGCTTGTTACAAGTGTTTGTCAATTAAGTTTACGAATTTCAGCTAATCAGTACTTATCCCTAGATTCTGGACGGACTTGGCCTGGGTCCTGGCGGCCCACCCATCCCCCCTCCTGCCACCTTCTCAGTGGTTCCTTATCCTGTCAAGAGGAAATCTCCACCTGGGACAGATGTGGCCAGCCACTACATCTTTGTGGCAGCTTCACAAGACGACCCGTAAGTAAAATTGTTGTTTGTTTGCATCTTATATTTGCTGTCACTGTGTGCTGTATTCTACTTGGTTTTGAAGGTTTATTTTTGTCCACACAAATGTATGTGTAGCTCTTTCATCTAATGCAATCAGCTCTTTTGTCAAGACAAACATCATCATTTACCAGAAAACCTAGCGCATAATTATCTTGATTGTTGTAACTATCCATAGAATGACGTTCTACTACTATTTTATTACATTGTGTCATGTGTATCTTGTTTCTTGATAAAGTAACTGATAATAATGTTGATTTTAACCATAGGAATGTTGCACCTGAGGACAGACTACCGGATGTTGAACCTGACACTGAGTCTGTCACACCAGACAAGTCTACCAAGCCTGAGAAGGAGGAGCACACAGCAACGTCCAGCCGTGGACGGTCCAAGGAACGAGACAAGCGGTCAGGGACAGACAGTGTGAAGGATCGCCGCAAGTCGGCCAGTCGGAAGGGCAGGAGAAGTTCTCTGTCAGCACCCTCCCCACCCCCCGGGGCTGCTACCCCTGGGTCAGAGGCAGATGGCCAAAGGTTGGTGAAGTTCTCTGCTTTCTATAGAGGAAGATCCTTGTTAACGGTTCTGACCTAATATGTAAAACTACTGTGCACAGGATAAAATTACTGTGTAAATCTATCTTGAATCTCATGCTTGAATTTAAGCTCAGAATTTGTTTGATACAATCCATAGCAGATGCATGTTTGTAGTTGTATGTGTTGATTGATAATCATGCAATTCATTGTTTTTTTTGCAGCACAATTGGAGACACTTCCACAGCGATTGAACATAAGAGTCCAAAGTGAGTCCCCACTACTCTCATTCAATCTTTTCAGATGCAGCTGTAAACATTGTTAACAGTACTTTTTACTAAGTGTTGCTACACATCAATATAATTTTGTTTCTTCAGTTTGGATGTATTCAGAACTTATGTCTCGATCCCTCCAGGCTGAGTACTTTCCGCTGGGTCATCCCTGCCGGCGGAGACGTGACGCTGCGTCTCCGCTTCACATCGGAGGATCTGGGACAGTTTGATCAGACGCTGAACTTTGAGATTGTGGGGACCCGCAGACGTTACCAGCTGTACTGCCGAGGAATCTGCGCCTTCCCAACAATCAGCAGGGAACCAAGGTATAGTGACCAGCTGCTCGTGCTTTACATCCCTGACTTTCTGTAGCATTAGACTTAAGGCAATGTTTCTGTCATCCACATGCTTCTGGGCTTAAATTTTCATGTGTACCTTCGCAGAAGAAAAACATATTGTTTCGGCTCTGTTTCTTCTTCCTCTTCTTCTCCAAACAAATAAGGTCAATGACCTGAACCAGACGTCTGTTACCATGGCAACTACATGTAATTATGTTGCTTTGCAGGGTTGTCTTTCCCCACCGTAAGAAGAGCAAGAGGTCTGACGAAATCATTCACAAGAAGTACGTCCTGGGTACAGAGGTCATGGAGTTTGGACCCTTACTGTGCGGGAAGACAAGAGACAGGTACAAGGAGGGCAGGTACCCAGAGAACATGGAGAAGTTGACTGTCATGAACACCTCTCCGCTGGAGGCAGACATCACCTTCTGTTTCCAGCAGGATGCTCAGGCTACCACATACCTCCTGGACCCTCCCAGCATGCTCCTCAAGCCTCAGGAGTCACAGGTACAGTCTCACTGGCAAGCTAGATACATGTACATCTAGTTCTAATAATTATAATCATTGATGAAGTCGTATACAATCACCTTCTTCTAAAGATGCAAATAGAAGTCCTTTAGATATATATTGTAATTATAATAATTGCTGTCATTCTTTATTGTTTAGGAGCTGACCATTTGGGCCTACCCAAAGACACCTGGTTACTTTGAAGACTGCCTGGTGTGTTGTGTGAGGGAGAACCCAGAGCCTGTGGTGTTCCGTATCTCCTGCCACGGAGTCAAGCCTGAGATAGAGATGGACCGCAAACAGCTGTTCTTTGAGAAGGTTCTTCTGCACAGGTCAGTCTTACAGCACACATGGTTACAAGTACCATGGTTAGAATTTTTCAATTGCAATAATTATTGTATCTGATTCAGAATACATCTTATTTCTTCACTCTGGTTTCTTCTTACTATTTGGGTATCTCAAGTTTAACTATAATAACCTCCTGCGCACATGTCCTTTCTCCAGGAAAGACACCAAGACAATCTACCTGCGAAACCCGACCCTCCTTCCCGTGGCCTGGCGCATCAGTGGCGTGGAGAATCTCGGAGACGACTTCTCTCTGTCCGCAGAGCAAGGGGTCATTGACCCCAAGTCTGAGCTGGCTCTACATGCCCACTTCCGTGCCATGAAGCCAACCAACACCAAGAAGATCATTCGTCTGGAGGTAACAATAAATTCTGTATTCCTGTTACTAGATAGGAGTCATATTGTTGTTTCTGGTTGAAAAGAATTATTTTGTACAGATGCACACCATTTGCATTGCGTACATGTACTTAGCAATGTGATATTCTCCCTACATCATGCTAATAGCACTACACTTTAACATGGAACAACATTGTATCTGAACTTCAGGTATCAGATGTGGACAACATCATGGGTCTGGTGGATGTGGAGAACATACAGGTCCATGCTGAGGCCTACGATGTCGCTCTGGACATGAGCTTCCCAAAAGGTGCAGATGGTGGACTTGACTTTGGCGTGATCCGCGTCATGGATGAGACCAAGCAGACTCTGACGCTGAAGAACAAGGGGAGATACGAGATTGGTTATGAGTGAGTACATTTTCCATTATGGTATCTTTGAAATGCATTTACTGATGTGTATATACAACTAACAGGCGACACTTTAATTCCGGACTGACACTCTAATTCCGGACGACCTTGAGTATTAGTAGCCAAGTTAAAGATGGATTTTCGATATTCTTTTGGCAAGGATGAATCAGAAGTGTATTCACTGGGAAATGTTAATCTGGGAGACATTGTCATTTTTACTTCTACCACAAGTGATAACACTTCTTGCCTATCTGCCCCTAGGTTCATGTTTGAGACCAGTGACCCTAACCTGCCTGAAGTGGGTAGTCTGTTCTCAGTGCTGCCCCAGCACGGGTCTCTCCTGCCCACAGACAGGCCCACACAGGTCCAGGTCATCTTCCGATCACGCTACGAGGTCAACATCAAGGACCAGCCCATCCTCAGGTGCAAGGTCAGTCACTGCTCAGATTGAACTTTCTTCAATTTTCAGGCACTAAGCATAGTGTGGTTTGTTATGTTTGTTTGTCATCAGAGTCTGAATCAAATTGTGTACACACTAGTGGGTACGTATACACACCACTGTATGACTGTACAACAACATGTATGGCAGACATGATGATGACATGTTGCTGTCCCCTCCCACAGGTGATAGAGCCCAGCCTGGGTGACCAGGGGGAGACCATCGCCAGTATCCCCATCAAGCTGTCAGTCCGCTCTGTCTTCAGCAGGTCAGAACTGGTCTTGCTGTACCTTTTGTTAAGTTTGTATGGATTACTTTATCCATCAGAAACTGAACATGCCCAGGATCGGTTTGTACAAAATATCTTTAACTCAGATTGATGTAGAAATACAGCTGATCATTGGAGCTAAAAGATACTAAATAGCCATTTGGTGCTTGCCAAAAGTAAAAGCTTGGGTTAATGAAGAGAAGTTCTAAAATCTTGTGTTTATAAGGCAGTACAGAAATGTCTTCAGCTAGGAATGAGGAATCCTGTTTGTTCATTTTACGCAGTTAGTCATAGTCTTTTGAGACTGACTGACTGACAGAAATATCAACAAACAAACGTGATCTTCTAACACTACAACATGGGAATGTTACAGATACATCATTTATCCAGAGAAAGACATACATTTTGGTGCCATGATGGTGAACAGTCGTAAGTCCCGCACCATCACCATTGAGAACAAGGGAGAGTTTGACTTCAAGTACAGCATCATTCGCTACATCAAGGAGGCTGCTGCACAGAGTCCACAGAAGCGCTTGTGAGTGAAGCTCTGTATTTTTATTCCTCATATCACACAACACTTGACCTGACCAATTCACTGCATAAGATGTATTTCAATAATGCTCAAAGCATTCACTACTTTACCATTGAAATGTGAACTGATTTGGGTAGGTTTTTAGGGAATCTTGTTGATATAACGTATCTGTTGTGTTTTCTGTTGTACCTACCTGACAAAAAGCTGCAAGCTGTTTGCTACCTTTCCAAGACATATACTTGGTCAAGGTGCCTATTATTAAAATGTGCCAGAATGTAAGACCATAGATGTACATCTACATGTATTTCCATACATTGTATGTCTCCCTCCTTTCTCAACATGTCTTGTCTTTCCCTACCCAATGAATCCCTGGATACGTGGCAGTAAAACACTGCTGTTTGGCAGTAAAAGCGTTAGACTGCTCAGTCAGTTTCCAAACAGGTACGTTTGGTGTAGTAGGAGGTAGTTAGGTTAGCTTATAGCTAGCTATAGCTAGTTTAGCCTAGTCCTTCTGCTGCTGCACTCCACACAACACCAGCTGGTAGTTCAGTACCGCGGACAGTGCACACCTGAGTCTGTAGACACACTGTACTATTATTCCTGTCACTATTCCCTCACCAGGCCGATTCCAGGTAAAGCTCGCACCAAGTCCCGTGATGGCTCCAGCTCCGGCAAGTCCATCACCAAACCAAAGAAGGCAGAATCTGTCAGGTAATGAACACTTGGTCAAATGCGAAACATTGCAAACAGGAAACCTCAGCCATATACAAATTTTTTTGTCAAATATATGGTAGTCTTAAAAATCCAAGCTGTCATTGTGTGCTATCAAAATCATGATCATTGTTGAAAATATCCAAATGTTGCCACCAGCATACTTGAAATCAAATGCATGTGTGCATTTATCCATCTTTTGAAGCATTAACAGTAATCATAAACTAATGGTAATTACACATGATTTTATTCTGATTGATTGTTGGGCCTTCATCATGTACCAAAATATTATCTATAGTAATTTGTGCCTTTGTAGGTTGGGTGAACTACAGTACAGAAAGCACTACATGTAGATCAGTATGTACCCATAGCTCCTATGCTCCATTCTTTAGAATAGTAGAAGTGGTGAGCTTCTGCTGGTGCTAATACATACAGGTATCATTTGTAATCATTGTGATAACAACAGCGGGTGTTGTACTTTAGACAAGAGGTTACGCAGGCCAACCAGTCTCGCCTGATGCTGGGCATGTTCACGGTGTACCCCGGGTTTGGACTGATCCAGCCGGGAGGACATCAGCAGGTCCAGGTGGACTGTCTGGGGGAACAGCCGGGCAGGGAGGAAGTGGTGAGTTGTGTTTTTTAGGGATACATCAAATTAACCTGTGTCCTGTTCATGCCTAAGTTGGGATGTCCATCTTGTTGATACATTGTCTATCAATAAGGAAACTTTCAATGTTTGGAAATAAATGTAGGACCTGGTGTGTTTTTTGTATATTTCTATTTTCACAAGGTCTGCTGTAAAGGATTACTGTGTCAAACCATAGTATCCCTCTTTTATTGCAATGTACATGTCTTTTTTTATCTATATCCCTGTATATCTCTGTTTGTGATAGCCTAATGTATTAAAACAAGTCAACCCTTCAAGGTCAGTTTTCCAGTGATTACTGGGTATGTAAGACACAAATTTTTAGATTTTGTCAAGAGTTTGAGCAATCAACAGAATGGTTGCTGAGCTTGCCTTTTCGTCTCCAGGATATCGCTATTGAGATCTCTGACCGTGACCCTGAGGACCACCCAGGTGGTATCCCGTACAGACTCGTGGCTGAAGCCTGCATCCCAAGCATCAACACCTCTGACATTGGAGCCATCTTTGAAGAACATCGCATTGTGCAGAATAGCCAGGCTAGCGAGATGCTCTCCCAGGTAAGCAATAGGATGACATGTGAAATAAAGTATTTTTAATGAAGATGTTATTATTTCTGTAGATTAGCTTCTAATGTTGTTGGTCAGTAGCAGCAAACTGCAAAACAAAGAAACAGACAAATAAGATATCTGTTCAGTATCCCAGATACTGGTATTACTGTTACTTGTCAATGAGGATGAAAAAACAACACAACAACACTTTTTATAAATAGTTTTCCAAAGGCTGGTTAATCTAAAAACGTTATTTTGGTTATCTAAGGATGATACACTTTCAATGTTTTGTTTGGGTTTTAAAAATTATGTATTATTTGATGAACATTGTCTTCATTGTTCTTTCCTCAGTTACAACTGGAGAGTGGTGGGATGTACATTGAGGAGGACAACAAGTTTGTCTTTAACAACGTCATGGTGGGGAGGAAGGCCCGGGCACGCTTCCAAATCACCAACACCAACAAGGTTCCCTGTGACGTGGCGTTCTCTGTGAAACCGCTGTCAATCAAACCGTCCTCCAAGCTCCACGGAGACGTGTTTGACGTCGAGCCGTCGCGAGCGGCCATCCCGACCCACAGCCACATGTACGTGGTGGTCAGCTTCTCACCGTCCACCATGCAGACCTTCACGGGGCTGTTCGAGGCCACAGTAGAGGGGCTGCCCAGCACGCTGGCCAAGGCACGCAACCTGTCCTTTGAGCTGGTGGGAGAGGGCACCCTTCCCAGAGTAACCCTGGTGCAGCCGACACTGTTTAACAAACAGGGCATGCCACTCCTGCTGTACAGGCGGCTGCTGCTGGGACACACCCAGGCCCTGCCCATGGTCCTCAAGAATGACGCCACTCTTCCCTGCAAGGTGAGCATGTTTGTTAAAGAATAGAATGTCCATGGCCAGTTGAAAATTAATATATTGTTAAGAGGTATTGTTCAGTACTCTTCAAAAAGAAATTGTACCTAACATGATTCAAGGCATTGCCAGATTGCTGTTCTCAGATCAAAAATACTATTTAGAGCTTGCACCATGAGTTAACCCATTTCCCATCCCATAGGTTGACATTGACCTGCTTGATCCAGAAGGAGGGTTCAGCTTGAGACTAAAGAGGGGAAGCAAGGCTATCCAAGCCAACAGTGTGGATTCAGATGAAGAAGGTTAGCCATTACAGTTTACCAGTATATAACCACCTAATGGACCAGTACACTTGAACAAAAATGCCTGCTTCAACCAACGGTGATGATTAAGCCTTGTGCTGATAGGTGTTTAACACAGTGCTGTTACCTTTTCAACTTCAAATATAGTTCTGATATAGTTTATTTTCCCTGTGAGTGAGTTGCAGGGGCTATGGTATACTCTTCCATGTCATGTCAACTTAAGTGCTAGGACTATACTTCTCTGTAACCCCTGCTGAATGTTCATGTCCATCAGATGAAGCCCCAACCAAACAAGCCCACACCATGTCAGTGATAGTTGAGAACGGTGTGCAGGTGGAGTTTGACGTGCTGTTCAAGCCTGGAGTGGTGCAGCAGTACAAGGGAACTATCCACCTCAGTGTCATGGACAACCAGTACGAGGAGACCAACATACAGCTGATCGGAGAGGGGTACGAGGAGGAGGTGACCATCGAAAACCTGCCTGCCTTAGACGCACCTCTGGCTGGAGTCAACCCAGAGGCGGTACAGGCACAAGAAGAAGTCCAAGGTAAACCACGAGATGAATTGATGTCGAAAACATTTTCTGCACATTTAACACAATCTTGTCTGAACCAATATTATTACATGTATTTGTTTCTTATTTTTACACATGTCTGCTTTTTATCTTCATTTTTTAAATTAAACTTAATGATAAAATGACAAGACTGTCACTACAAAATCCTAGAAGCTAAAAATTAAAAAAAAAGGATTTTTTAAATGAAAAAAAATCACTGATTCCTTCACTGATGCCTGAATCATCTCCCCAGCTGTTCATGGTAACCACCTGGACTTCGGAGACTGTGCCATCGGCGAGCCTCACCAGCTGAGCTTCACCATCACCAACCATTCTGAACAAGACGTCTACCGTTTTACCTGGCCAGAACACGCTGCCTTGACCTTCAGCCCGCAGACTGGACATCTCCACCCCAAGTGCACCAAGGACATCACCATTGTCTTCAAGTCAGATGAGCCCAGACCGCTCAATAGGGCTGCGGTGGCCTGCAAGATCTGCAAAATACTGCTGAAGCAGATGCCTGACCAGGTGAGACACAATATTTTCCTGTAGGTAAATGCACTCTGGTCCCAACCCCTGCCTTTAAATTGTTAATACCAAAATAAATGAAAAATAAAAAAAGGAAATAATCCATACACCATTGATTGAGGCTGTTGTCTTTTTCTGTATTTTGTTGATAATTTGTAAAGTTATGCAGCAACAGCAGTACTGATTAGGAGATTGGATGTTTTGTAGAGAAGTAAAGAGAAATTTTGTGTACAGGTGCAGGACTGGGATGACCGGTTACGGGTCATCAAGTGGGTGGACAGTGACACTATCCAGGTGCCACAAGAGGCTGACAAGAAAACGTGAGTGCCTCCTATTTGTGTTCAAGATGCATTCAAGACTTTACTTTTAGTTTTAGTGTCTCTAAGCAATGTCGTTAAGAAGTCCTTGTACGTCATGTTGACAGAAGAATAATCTGTTTACCACAGAACCAAGGACCAGCCTCCCCCTGGTTCTAGTACTTCACGTACGTCTCGTAAGAAGGTGACAGAGACAGCGGAGGAGCCCGGCCATACTGTGGTGGAGAACTCCACCAGAGATCTGGAGCTGCAAGTCAGCGCCACCTGTGACTTTGCCAAACTGCGCTGGAAGACAGAATCCATCGCCTTCAAGGACACACTGATGTTCCAGTCTAGGATATATGAGTAAGTCAGGGTGTGGATGAGGAGCAGCAGGTGCTAAAATGGAATTCCTTTTACAGAACTTTGTCTTGAAGAATGGAGGGAAAGAATACAGTATATACATGTAGATATGCCAGTTTTTTGGTCCATACACTGTGTATGGTGGTGCCTCTCTTTTTTTTATTAATCTCAAATTCTCTAGAATGTATTTTTAAGCCACAGTGTAGGCATATCATTCACCATGGATTGTTCCCCCAGGTTCACACTAAACAACAAAGGCACAGTGAGCGCCCACTTCAACTGGCAGCTGGTGACAGACGGCCTCAAGTCTGTCAGCTTTGCTCCAACAGAGAGGCCCCCAACAGCCCCCACCCCTGACCTGCGCCCCTCCAGCCGGATGATGTTGTCCCCACCCCCTGGGGAGGACCTGGCCGCCCCCAGCCCCTTCAGCATCTCCCCGGAGACAGGAACTGTACCCGCGGGGAAGAAGCAGACCTTCACGGTCAAGTTCTCACCCATGGACATCCGGCAGTATGAGGCCAAACTCATCTGCAAGTATGTGAAGCTTTGACAGCCTGTGGGCTTAACTATCTTTCTGTTGGTCCTTTTCAATTAGCAGTTTGTCATATTGAACAATGCTATTAATACCTGCCTTAAATAATAATATGACTTGTTACAACTTAGTGGTCTATTATTTGTGATCTAACTGGAAAGCAGCAAAATCTGCATTCCAGTGTGAGTGCATGCTTTCCTTTGAATATTGGTGAACCTCTTACCTTCGCAGCATCCCTAACCTGGAGGAGGGGAAGCAGGCCCCGGTACTGGCAGTCCGAGGGCGTGGCCTCCTGCCTTACTGTCACTTTGAACTGGAGGACTCGGATTACATCAATGCAAGACGGAACCCTCAGATGAGAGGTCCACGAGGGGCACCACCTGGTGCTACCCTGGATCCCAACACTCGGGTCATTGAGTTTGCTGCTACAGGGATCAACGTCAAAACTTCAAGGTAGTTGAACAAACATTTCGTTTCTATAGGTATACAGAATTTTTTTTCTTTTGTTATCCTCCATCAAGCCACAAAGTACTTACGGCTTCCCGTTTTGCCTTTTAGGAGCTTCTTCATTTTGAATCCAACCAATCGGGACTACTCTTTCCTCTGGAATAACGAGGACCAATCAGACTCCAAACTTCCATCCCCCTTCACGTGCCAGACGTCAAGGGGTCACATTCAGGCAGGCCGCAAGACAAAGGTACTTACAGCATTCTTCAAATGTTCTGTATTGTCAGGCCAACAGGAAGCTCCCTTTCTAACCCTTAACCATAGGATTGGCTGTAGATTTGTATCAAAATGTGCAGTATTGCATGACTTTTCATTTCTGTCACAACACTAGACATTGCTAGTATCGCATTACTTGAAGATTATATTATTGCAGTTATTATTTTTTGCAGTCTGTGCAATTTCTGACCTTGTTTGTTTGTTGTTGTTTGTTGTTTACCAGGTTGGGTTCCAGTTCTGTACGCAGCAGCTGGGTGTGGTGGAGTCCTTCTGGTGTTTCACCATCCCCGAGCTCAGCATCTCGGTGCCATTCTTACTGACAGGATCCGCCTCCGAGCCAAAGGTCGTCATGGACCGCTCACATCTCAACTTCAAGCCGCTGCTTCTTGGTACAGTCATCAGACACATTTTGACTTACTATTGTCAATTCTTATCCATTCTGTTACAGTCATATCAATTCTGGAGCTTATGAGTTGGAATGCCATACCTGAAATAGGTAGTGTTTGTGGGGGATTCTTTTACGTACTTTAAAAACCAAATACTGGAAATGTGCTTGTGAGCCTGCAATGCACTTGAACATCTCTTAGTTCATAACCCATGTTGCTACCTTGTGCAATTGTAAGGAGGATTCCAAATACCTGACAGCCAAAAGAAGAATTCCAGAACATTTGCTGCAGGTGTTGATTGTATTGTCTTTGTTACTTGCAGGTCACAGTGCTGTAGAAACCATAGGACTGTGCAACAATGAACCTCGGCCTTTCGTCTTTGAGTTCATGGAGGCTTCCCTACACTCTGAGGGCCATGCCGCTGCCCTGACCATCACCCCCATGGCTGGCACTGTGCCACCTAATGCAAGGTAGGTCAGGACTAGCCACAGAGCCGTCTAGTGGTTTTAGAGTGGATCTAAACCAAATGGCAACCAACCTTTGTACAACACACCTAGATGACATTCAGAGTGAAACTGGTGGAAGGTGCTTTCATCCTTTTCTCTATCCTCTAGGTCTGCTTATTGAGCTTTATCATCTGACCATCAGATATAATCAAGAAATGAATTACAAAATGTATATACAAGTGCTATTAAAGTCATATTTAGTTATAGCTGAGTAAAAATGATGTCCTATGTTCAGATGTCCACAACTTTCACATAACAGTTTGTCAAAAAGGGGTAATGGTGACATGTTATCATACTGTAACCTTTCCTCCCTGCAGTTTCCCCATTGATGTGGCCTTCAGTCCGACTGAGGAGAAGCAGGTCAACTTCAATGTCGTGTGCCATGTGCAGCAGAAAACAGAGCCACTTGTCCTGAACGTGAAGGCGGAAGGTTACACCACGAACGCCTCGGTACAGTGTGAGGACTCGGCAGGCAAGAAGGTCACCCTGACACCACAGGGGCTCAACCAGGTCAACTTTGGACAGGTGAGCATCTGCAGAGATACAAGGATATCCTTATCCAATCAGGCATCTTGTAACATAGCATCAACTGTTTTTCCTTTCAGTGGAAATTTTACAGCATAGGCAAAGTATAAAGTTATGTGACAAGGCAACCATCCTTACATTGGAGAACGTAAATATTTTTCCTCACTGATTTCTCTAGGTAGTGGGCAGCATGGGATACAAAATTAGCAGAACTCATTTTGATAGGTCCCAACAATGTTAGTAATTTTATGATCATTTATTTATTTATCAAGAATTAATTAAATTGTCACTTTGGTGCACAGGTCCAGATCTATGAGAAGGCAGTGCGTACCATCCACATTGTGAACAACGGCAAGTTCACCTTTGACTTCAACTGGACAAAGGAACAGCAGAGGAACCCAGAAACTGTCATCATCACCCCTGAGACAGGCAGCGTCCCTGTAGGTGCCCACAAGAAGTGCATGCTGACTTTCTGCCCAACTACCAGGATGAGTCTACAGGACTGTCAGCTGGCCCTGCAGGTGTGTGGTCATGATTCCTGAAACAACTAAATAGAAAATTTTAACACACCCCCACACAATGCTCTTAGCCATTTCAACAGTGTCATCTAAGCATTTGGAAAAGAAAAGTTTTCCTCCCTTTTTGATCACTTTTCTGCCTTCAAACTGTGAGCACTTTCAAACTGCAGACTAATAACCGGATAACTTGTTATAACTCAGTTGTTTGATACCTGCTGTAAGTCAGTTTTCAAATGCCAGCTACTTATTAATAGTATGATCTGTTGCAACTTGGTTGCTCAATGCACGTGGCTGATTTAGAGAGCAACTTGGCAATGACAGTTTTCCACTTATGTCCATTCCAGATCACCAATGGCCCGACCTATGACCTGAAGGCCCTTGGTGCAGGGGTCACCCCAGGTCTACACTTCTCCTTCCTCAACTATGACTTTGGGCCGTGCTTTGTCCACCATGCTGGCATGCCTGTCAGAAAGGCCACATTGAAAATCACCAACAAAGACTCCAAAGAAGTCAGGTAAGCAAAAGTTTTATGTCAGGTGATGTAATGTTCCTGTTGAAAAATCTTTCAAGTATGAAGTGAATAAGTTTGGGATATGATACAGTATACTACCTGTTGTATTTAAAAAAAAAATTTCGTCAGTGATTTTTGTGTTGGCCTGGCCCATTGAAATAGACATCTATGGTAACTAAAACTGTAACTAAAAGAAACATCAATCTGAAAAGAGTAAGATGCAATGCATCTGTCAAAAGTAATAAATGCTAACCAGAGTTTTCCTCTTCTCCCCGCTTCCAGTGTGAACTGTCTGTTCACCAACACTACCCACCTAGAGGTGCAGTTTGAACCGACCATCCTTTCACCAAAGGACTCGTGTGAGGTCTACATCTCCTTCTTCCCACGCCACTGTGTCAAGTATTTTGATGTCCTCCCCTTTGAGATCAATGGACTCTCCCAGACCAATGTGGAAATCCGAGGAGAAGGCACAGAGATGACAGTAAGTTTTCTTCCCTCAGAAAAATTTTATTTGATTTATTTCATTTATGGGACCTCTAAATTCTGTGCCAGTGTTGTTGAGTGTCTGACTGTTGTTGTCTGATTGCAGGTGGAAGTAGCAGACAAGAGACAGAAGATTGTCCAGCTGGGTGCCCTGTTGGTGGGGACCACAGTAAAGAAGGTCGTCTCACTGGTCAACAAGAGTCTGGCTCCAATCACCTTCAAGTAAGTATGGAAGCTAGGAGTGGACCTTCATCTCAAATAGATATATACAACTATTAGTTGGATGTACTCAAAGACCCCAGTGCAAGAGGAGTTGTGAACAGCTAGCAATTTTTCAAGTACCAGATGTCATAGCCCTCCATGAAATTTGTCCAATTGAGTGTGTATTCTCAATCCAAGCAGAACCGACTCTAAATGCCAAACCACATACCATTTCTTGAAGTAGATATAAGTAGAAGCTATCTATTACTAGTACTAGAAGCTATTGATTTTTGAGGTGCAAATATAGCTTTTGGATTGATATCATATTTCTGTGCGTCTCCCCCAGTCTGGTGTGCACACCGTCCAGTCACCTGCTGCAGGACTCCCGTGTGCTGTCCATCTCTCCGTACCAGTCCATCACGCTCAAACCACGCGGCGGCAAGGTCAACGCAGAGGTCACCTTCTCACCAAGGACACGCATCCCACAATTCACTGAGGAGGTAAACAGCACACATGAAATGTTTATTGATGTACAGTGCAGCAATAAACTGATGTAATGACAGAAACATCAATTATAACATTCAGAAATACGGCCTGTCCTTGGTGCTGATTATAACACTCAGAAACAGGGCCTGTCCTTGGTGCTATTTCTAAAATCCCGAAACAGGGCCTGTCCTTCGTGCTAGTTCTAACATTCAGAAACAGGGCCTGTCCTTGGTGCTATTTGCAAAATCCCGAAATGGGGCCTGTCCTTGGTGCTAGTTCTAACATCCCGAAACGGACGGGCCTGTCCATGGTGCTAGTTCTAACATTCGGAAACAGGGCCTGTCCTTGGTGCTAGTTCGAACATCCCAAAACAGTGCCTAGTTATAATATTCAGAAAACTGTCCCTGGTGCCTGTCTCTCAGAAATAGGGCCTGTGAAGTAACACTCAAAAGTAACACTCAGAAATAGGGCCTGTGAAGTAACACTCAAAAGTAACACTCAGAAATAGGGCCTGTCCATGGTACTAAGCACAATACTAACACAGTAACTTCTGTGAAAATGACTGCTTGTTTGTCCCTGCAGGTTATGATGGAGAGTGAAGGGTTCTCCCAGCCCCTGTTTGTGCTGATGGGCTCCTGTCAGGGCATCGAGGTGCAGCTGGACCAGGAGTCCATCCCGTTCGGCGCCGTCGTGCTGGGCAGCAGCAGTACCCGCAGGATGGTCATGCGCAATGTCGGCGACATCGGGACAAAGTAAGTTAGAAACACTGTACTTCTAAACAATCAGCATTCAAGACTTTGGCTCTTTGTGTTGCCATGTAGAGGATATATATCTAAATCTTGCCATTGGTCCATCACTGCATTTTGAGAAGTGTTTTCTATGTCTTTATCAATTTAGTCTTGTATAACTATGGCTCAATGATGAAAAAAACAGATTCATGTAAGTGTGAGAGCTATTCAGATATGACATCTAAACTGTGCCCCTCAGGTTCCAGTGGAAACTACGGCAGTTTGCACCAGACTTCTCCATCAACCCTTCTGAAGGGTACATCTCCCCCGGGATGGAGGTGGCCTTCAATGTGGTGTTTCACCCAACCAAAGTCAGCCAGGATATCAGATATGAGGTAACAGTATTGACAATTGTTCACAACCTTCATCATGCTTTCATCTACTCTACCCAGTGCATGTTTATTTTTTATTTATTTCTACTTCAAACATACAATGTTCTACTTCAAACATACAATTTCTACTTCAAACATTCATAGTGTAGATGAGGGATCTGAATATTGTTAAAGCTTAAGACCTGTCAAAGCTAACTCAAGGTGATATGATGTTGTCAGAGTTTCTAACATAGATAGATACAGAGTTAGTCTTGGTAAAACATTTCTCAAGTTAAACATTTCCTTCCATTAACCACATGAATCACCTATCATCTGCCTGCAGGACCTGGAGTGTGTGACTGAAGGGAGAAAGAAGATCCTTCTGACCCTGACAGGCATGTGTGTCAGCACACCAGCTCTCAAGGAGGTAAGGAAAGAAGGAAGTCAGGCCCTTACAGATATTCACGCAATAGAGTCATGACTAACAGTGTGCAAAAATACTCGAGGGATGTTTATTGATACTTTGTCTGCATCACTGCAGACTGAGACAATCTAGTCTTGACTATCAGCCGAGTTTGTGTCCTTACCAATTCTTTCCTGTGGCTGTGGTTTCAGGTTCTGAACTTCAGCACACATGTCCGCCAGAGGGACACCAAGACCGTCACCATCTCCAACCGCACCAACCAGACGTGGGAGCTGCACCCTGTGATTGACGGGGAGTACTGGGCGGGGCTGGAGACCTTCATGGTGGAGCCGCAGCAGAACAAAGGCTACGAGCTGGTCTACAAACCACTCGCTATGACAGCCGAGGGGAAGAAGCACACAGTGAGTACTGCAAAAGTCTTCCAGCTTTTGCAAAACCCTTGTCCTTTTGGTATCATATGTATTTTTGTCCTTATATATTTTCAGTACCTCCCTAAGAAACCTTATAACAATGGAATTCTTACCAGTGATAACTGTAAAGTTTGTTTCATGAACCATTCTTTGGTGACAAAAGTGGTGGATTTTAGTTAAAATCTCTATGTTTTGTGTGCAGGGCACCGTGTTCTTCCCCCTGCCTGATGGAACAGGCCTGCTGTATAACCTGACTGGTACATCTGAGCCTCCCAAGGCCATTAGTAACATCACCAGGGAAGTGCCCTGTAAGACGGGATACACAGAGCTGCTGACTGTCTCCAACTGGCTCAAACATCCACAGAGGTACTGTACAGTAACACAATTTCTTTATGTATCTACAATGATTTTTATACTGGACTCAATGCAGCAAACATTGCCATTTCTAGGTGAGAGAGATAAAGTTAGGGAAATTGTTCTCAGCAGGACAGGAAAAAGATTATAAGACTGCCATAAACCATTTCAGTATAGTATTTTGAGGTTTTGTTGCTATCTGTGACTTTTTCAAGGTTAGATAGAAGCACAACAGCAACAAATACACTTTGTATTGATAAACCATCCCAATATATTCAGGTTCCGAGTGACTATAGACATGGTGAAGCCAGACCGGCTGGACCAGAGCACCAGTCTGAAGGGGCTGGACTACATCGACGTACCAGGACTGGGGAAAAGGGACTACAAACTCAACTTCTTTGCTCACAGGGAGGGGACTGTCACCAGCAAGGTGAGCTTTGTGTCTCAAGGAACATTTCTAGCATACCACACTGTTACTGCTGTTTATTACAGAAAGACTTAGGCAGCAAGCATTCTTTATGATCATGACTTATATGTGACCTATTATTTGGTTAAGAGATTTACTGTAACAGTTGTCAAATGCTCAGCTGCAGTGCCACGCCTTCTGAGGTGAATAATATCCACACAAAATGGTATCAAACTTATCTAAATGACTTTCATGTGACCTTCACACTAGGTTGTGTTCCGGGAGGACACTACAGGAGAGTACCAGTTCTACTTTGTGACCTTCAAGGCGACTCCGCCCGGCACCATCAGTACCCTGTACCTCACCACGCCCGTACGCCAGAGCGCCTCGCACACCGTGACTGTGGAGAACCCCCTGGCCATGCCCATCACCTTCTCCACAGACTGTAAGGTGGCCGACGTCAGCCTGCCGCCACAGTTTGTGGTTCCTGCACAGTCGGAGGTATTATTTTACACTTCTGAAAAAGTGTTGTTATGAACACTTAAAGGCTATCTTTGGCAATTTTTAGCCCTCTAAGTGGCTAATGCTTAAAGCAATATTGGATGCAAGTGTGCACTTCATCTAGGTCCAGGCCTTAGATATGATCATATTTTGTAATTTCTACTAGCCATTGTGTTTGGATGGTTTCTAAACTTTGTAGGACATTTCTTGGGTTGTTTACATGTCTGTGTTGATCCGTGCAGGGCTCTGTGATGTTTGAGTACTTACCTCTGAAGGCAGGTGAGACCAACGGCCGTCTGGCCCTGTACAGCAGCGAGCTGGGCCACTACACGTACGACCTGGTCCTCAGGGCCCTGCCAGCTGGCCCGGAGAGAGCGCTGCACTTCAAGGCCAGTCTGGGCGCCAACCAGACACAGACGGCTCATCTCACCAATTTCTCCAAACAGAAAGTAGAATATCTCTGCAAGGTAATGACCTTACTTTATCCAAGGAGGTTCTGTTACTCCTACAATGTACCTTCATCAGAAACATGCTGTTGTTACTGGAACATGTACTGTAGTCTTTTCTCAGCTACTAGGGATTCACCCATGCATTAGATTTGTATTCTCCATGCAGAAAAATATTCAATAATACATGCAATTTGATAATTTGGAAGAATAAACTGAATATCTTTGAAGTTGATTCCCAATCATACAGGGGCAGACTGCACATATATTGAAGCTGTTAAATGTACTGATATGCAGCCCCGTTTTTGTTGGTTTCAAAACATGTGTGGACATAGCTGAGATGGCCTTAGTGCTGAAAGTACAGTTGTATTCCACTGGGTCATTCTTTTTGCTTTCTGTCCTGTTCAGGTTGACAACAGTGATTTCCATGTGGAGAAGACAGTAAACGCAGCTCCCGGGTCACAGGGTGGTACAGAGGTGGGGATCGATGTGACCTATGAACCCTCCAAACTGGGCCAATCCCGTGCAACCCTGACCGTCTCGTCTGCTGTTGGTGGAGAGTATACCTTCCCCCTCGTGGGAAACTGCCTGGCACCCAAACCGCAGGGTCCGTACACCATCCGCGCTGGCTCCACTGCATCCATTCCCTTCAAAAACATCTTCCCACATACCACGGCTTTCACCTTCACCGTAGATAACACTGCCTTCAGCGTCAAGGCAGGAGAAACCATCCGAGCCAAGAAAACTCACAGCATCATTGTAGGGTTTGAGGGGAACACCAGTGGGAGTAAGGCACCCAAGATGGGCAAACTGGTGGTGACCTGCCCCAGGTCAGCAGGGGGGGAGCACAATGTCACCTGGACCTTCTATGTGAAGGGAGTCACTCCATCTTAAATACATCACCGTAAACTAAAACCTACACTATGGTGGTGGATTTAGTACTCTAAAGCTTCTCAGAACTTAAACTTTCTTTGTGTAATTTAAATTTGATCTGAGCTTTATGTTTGACATAAGGACCTACTATGCACATCTGTAGAATTGTTTCAGATGCCTTATCAGGGCTTCTTGTTTGCTGTAAATTTGTTGGCTATCATTTAATATTCTAATGCAGTGGACTATAACAAATGTATATATGGGTGAACAAGTGTACTTTGCCATGAAAAAACAGTAGTCAGGGAAGATGTTGCCTAATACCTATACTAGATGGGAAATTTGCTGCTACACTTTTTGAATTCAGTCACTGTTTGATGTGAGTCATTGTAAACAAAGTGGATATATATATATATGTACTGTATATGCCAAGTTTGTGGTCATGTTGCTGTTATCTGTCACTTTTCAATAAAAGAATGAAGTGCCTTACTATTTTGCAGTGTGACACTTAACGTTAATGTGTGTCACAAAAAAAGCCTTGGTGAGTAAAAGCCGACTCTTCTCAGCTTCATTTTTCAAAGTCTAACAGTAACATGTTACAATTTCACAATACAAATTATTCTTGGAACAAAAGAAGTTGTTTGAGGTGAACTCTGTAATGGAAATCTTTGGTAAATAAATGTCCTATTTTGGTGAGTGATGATAATACCAGGTATACCATGTGACCTATATCCTATCCTCCATGCACCAGCCAAGTTGTAGGGAGAAAAAAGAATTCTGTATGGAATAAAGCTTTGAAAGTACAGTTCTCTGTGGTGTGTACTTTTTTCAAGCTTACAGATGTATGGAAAACACTGTTATTATTTACCTTGAAGTACATTTAAGGAACAAAAGAAAATATTGATAGCTATATCGGTACGTTTCTTTATGGGAAAAATCAAGATGTCAGAAAAGTTGATGAAAAAGATCCGTATTCAACCGCTTGTAAAATTGTTATAGGAATGTTTGCCTCAAAATAAACAGCTGGGAGACTGAAATGTTCTTTTCTGATAAATTTGTGATGTTTAGGGCGTCGGAGCAAGTCCCAATGTCGAGATCAAGAGCAAGTTAGACCTGAGGTAAAACCCCCATAAGTGCCCATCTCGTTTCCCAACTCGTAAAATGGCCAGAGTTGGGGATGAAAGCGGCTTCCTCCTTTTGGGAACGGGGACTCTAAAATGGGAGTGTGATAGGGGATGAACATCGAGTGTAATCTGTGTTACTAGTGTTCTATGTAAAGCTTAGATATAGTGGATATAGTGCACGGATTTAGGCGGAGCAAGCTTGCCCGAATGTAACGCAATATCTAGCCGCTGCCGTTGTGAATTTTAATATCGTAGAGCGTTAATAATAATACATGTAGTTCGACCCCTAACCCCCTCAAGAGCATCCCTGTATTTCCGTATGGTTTGGCCAGCCTGTACCCTTTTAGCTCTAAGCAGCGCGCGAGTGTGGTTTTCACCATTCTGTGTGTTTAACATTGTGCGGATGGCGTTCAGCACCAAGGACAGGCACCAAATGCACGGAAACATGTGCGCGTACATGAGCCGGTGTTGATTAGATTAGCAGATTTCGTCTACTAACGCTACACGTTCGTTACCAATACTTGTAGCTGCTGACGCTTAGTACCTCTGTGTAATTTGACACAGCGTAGTCCGAAATGGTGGACAGAAAACCGTTCTTTTTGAGGAGATTGACTCTTGGTGGTAAAGTAGTTGTGGTCATCAGGGAAGAAATTAGACCAGTTGTTGTGCACAGCTGTGTAAAAATCACACGTGGCACGGCCCACTCAGTCTGCTTCTGCTGGTGTCACGCGAGGAAGAGTAGGAATTATTTTGAACTTCTTGGTAAATTTTGTAGCTTCTGGTTCGATAAATATTCATCCTAACTTGTAGAACAAATCTTCGGGGATGTTTCCATGACGGAGTTGTGCCGTTTTCTGGAGTTTTGACAAAAAAAAGTGCATTTCCCGACCTGGTGGATTTTTGGAGAAGACAAGAAAATGGCGCCCGTTGGAAGGAGAACAGCGTGGTCGAGGAGAGGACAGAGTTCTTACAAGGTAAGAAACCATGTTGTCGAATTGGTTGCCTGCATGCTGGTAACAACACGTCGCGTGTAGAACAAATCTTCGGGGATGTTTCCACAGCGGAGTTGTGCCGTTTTCTGGAGTTTTGGACAAAAAAATGTGCATATCCCGACCTGGTGAATTTTTGGAGAAGACAAGAAAATGGCACCCGTTGGAAGGAGGACAGCGTGGTCGGGGAGAGGGCAGAGATTTCACAAGGTAATTATATAAGAAACCATGCCGTCGGATATTGGTTGCCTGCATACTGGTAACAACACGTTGCGGTATATTCGTGGTGTATTCGGTTCTTTTTTTAATATATCTTCGCTGTTTTTTTTCACGTCTGCTAAAATTATGTAGGTATTGGTACTTTTCGAGTTAAATTTTGAAAAAAAAAGGACTTAACTTTGTTTCTGTATACTTGGTCTAAGATTTGTCCCCCTTGTCTGAGAAACTGAAAGGAAACATGGGTAGAATATTTGTGGAACTTTCCCCCATGGAAAACACTTTTCCTTTTGAAATGTTCAAAGCTATTTTGAAACATGTATTACTCTTTAAATTTTGGTTGGCTAGATATTTCAGAGTGGTATAAAATGACAAAATAACACCTCTTTAATTTGCTGTTTCTTGGATTTCCCAGCTTTTTCCTGATTTACGACAAGAGCATGTACATGTACAGTAATATTCAGAATATTCAGGTTTTGTATCAACCTCCAAAAATGCTCCTTTTTTGCCCAAACAGTTAAGTTTTTTTCTGGTTGTTACAGTTTCCTAGTTATCGATTTGATTAAATGTAAAAAATTTATGGTTTGATTTTAAACCAGCCCAGTATGTTGTGACAGATTTGGTAGTATTTAGGTCCTTTAAAGGATACCTAGACTTGTTTTTTAACCTCCACTTCAAGAATTTTAGCTATTGCATGGGAATTTCTGTCATAGTGGCACACACATCTGTGTGTTACTGGAAGTAGGTTCATGTGTATTGGATATCTATCACAGTGTGTATATGCATGTGTTAGTGTAATATTCATCATGTACTTGTGTTGCAGTTGGGTGATTAAGTGTCAGGTGTATGTTTTAAACATTCACCTTTAATCATAACTCATCAAGAATGGCATCCACAATTTCTGGTCTACTAGTAGTTGTTTGGCTTTGTTCAGTGTTTTCATATATATCCTGATGTTGTCTCTACATGTATATGACAGGGTTGATAACTCCTTGTAACTTATTGTTTTCATGCACATTTGTAGTTAGTTACCTGTGTCCTGAGGGTCTGCCAGCTGTGCAAGTGTTCCTGTCCCGATGAGATGACTTGTGATGACAGAGGCACCAGGTGATAGAAAACAGGAGTATCAGGCTAGGTGAGGAAAATCTGAATACTGTATTTTACCTACCATTTACTTGATTATTTGAGACAAGAGTGTAACTTCTTATGTTTGTAGTTAGGTCACAGGCTGCTGACAGATGCAGTACTGGGGATTCCTGTTTGAACCTGACAAGACGGATTGGAAAAGACCAGACCTTGTGATTTTGAGGACCTATTAAGAAGAGAATTAGGTGAGAGTTATCTTAATTCTGCATTTTACAAGTTCAATTTACTGGGTATTTGACACAAGTGTGTAACTTGTTATGTCTGCATACATCTAGTTAGGTGGCTGCTGACTCGAGATGGAGTAGTGATGAGACGTGTGTAAACCTGACAAGACTTGACAAGATTAAGCAATTTGAAGACCCAAGAGGAATATTAGGTGAGAAAAATCTTAATTCTGCATTTTACATACCATTTACTAGGTATTTGAGACAATTGTGTAACTTGTTATGTTTATATACCAGTAGTTAGCTGGCTGCAGACTGATGCAGTAGTGATGATTCCTGTCTAAACCTGTCAAGACTGGATTGGAAAAGACTAGACAAAGCAATTGGAGGACCCAAGAAGAATATCAGGTGAGAATCATCTGAATTTTCCATTTTACAAGTTCCATTTATTGGGTACTTATTATTAGTATCATAACTTGTTATGTATGTGACTGCTAAACGATGCAGTAGTGAGGACTCCTGTCTGAACCTGACAAGACTGGATTGGACCAGACCTGGTAATTTGAAGACCAAGGAGGTACATCAGGTGCACCTGATGTACCTCCTTGGTGAAGAAAGTCTTAATCCTGCATTTTGTTTTCATTTACTTGGTGTTATTTGAGACTGTGTATTACTAACTAGTTTTGTCTGTTAGGTGGCTGCTGATAACTGATACAGTTAGTGATGACAGACTAGGTGATTTGAAGACCCCAGAGCAAGCCTGCATAGGGTGAGATAATGTTTTTACTGTACAATGCTTGTATGTATCTATCGCTTGACAACTTTCTTTGTACACTTTATAGAAATAACACAGCCTGTAACACATTGGGAAACACATTTAACATGAATTTTGTTTTATTTTTTAATTAAACAGTAACACAACTAAGTTTCTATAGCCATTCAGGTAAATGGATAGTTCAATTGTGCTATTTTATTTTTATAGTCATTCAGTGTTGCCTGGAGATGTTACTTATGCCTGACACTAAAGATCCTTTCATATACATGTACATCGATGTCCTGACCTGTACGTGAGGACAGGCAACTTTTGTGGAAATTGGACTAGGTGAGCGCTCAGCAAACCTGTTGACTTAATTCAAGGCAAAGAGTTTGTACAGGTGAGATACAGGTTAACAATACACCTATGAAAATGATTTTCCATTACATGCATTCAGTGTTCCTTTTTCAAATATACTAAATTATCCTTTCATATTTAGGTGTGTCCTGATGTTCCTGTCCTGACTGGGAGAAACCTGTGATGACTGGTGACTGCTACAATGTATCCATGCAGGCCAGATGAGGGCTTGACAGGAAACCAGTTAACTTGAAGACACAGTAAAGAGTTTGTACAGGTGAGACAATGTTTTTCACTGATGTGACAGCACTAGTGACATATCTAAAACACATTCAGTTCAGAGGCTTTTCTGTTTTCTACATCTATTTATTGATAACCAAAGGGATAGTTTAATTGTGTATCATTTAATGGTCATTCTGAGTGTTGAATGGAGATATTTTTGCAACACACTAATTGTCCTTTCATTGTTACATTTGGGTGTGTCTGACGTTCCTGTCCTGACTGGAAGAAATCACCACTGACGTTTGTCGGCAGATCTCAATCTGTAAAAGAAAATGAGGAGGTGTGAGTATGTTTTCTTTTATTAACATGAGACAACACTCCACATGCCTTCAGCCTTTCAGGTGCACACAGTTGCACTCGCATTTCTCTCTTTTGCCCAGTTCACACTACTCTGAGGGTTGGCATGCCTATTGTTTCCGTGAGGAGCCATTGAACGTTAATCATCGCTGGCGGCTTGAATTCCACGACAGTTTGTATCGTACAGTTGAATGCCAAATTGCCCCAAAATTGTCACTTTCGACCTCTACACTTAAATTTTCCCACCAAAAACTTAGTATCATAGTTGGACGCTTTTATCATTTACTGAATTCATGTTAAGCGTCACTGAAAATTTTTTGATATTTAGTTGAATATGCCCAATTGCCCAACAATTGTTGCTTAAATGGACCGTTACACTTAAATTCTCCTGCCAAAAAACTTTTGTCACTGAAAATACATAAGATGTTTAACTAGAGTGGACTAAACAAACCATCGCTAGATTGGGTACTTTTGGAATCTTCATAAATTGCCTTATGTACAAATTTTGAATTATTTATGAGCACTTAGGCAGACTGTATTTTTGGCAGGGTATTTTCCTTTGATATCTTATACATAATGATAAACTGATGTGAATATAATTAGTAAAAAATTAGAAGAGCTTTGGTAACTTTTTTAGTTCTCGTTGAGTTGAATCAGGGTTTTGATGTTGCAACCACGAAAGTTGAATGAGGTTTATGATTCTAACTACATTCTTGTCATAAACCTGCAAGTCGTGTGACATAATTTTAAGTTCAAGGCCAAGCGCTGTTTTCAATACACTGACTTCTGTTTCTCTGTCTTCAAGATGTGAACCCGGAGACCAGAATGAGCAGGAGGAAAAACCAGACTTCTGGTAGAGCTGTGGGAAAGAAGATGTGGTAGTTGGGTGTGAGTATGTTTCCTTTATTAACACGAGACAACACTCCACATGCACACACACGCATTTCTATCTTTCGCCTATTTCACTCTGCTCTGAGGGTCCATTTAACATTAATCGTAGCCAGCAACACTGAAAAAATTGTCACTTTGGACCTTTACTCTTGAATTCTCCCAAAAAAAGTATCCTAGCCGGCCAACCAACTGCTTAAATTCCACGTTGTTATCTGCTTCGTAATGTACTTGTATAGTTGAACGCCAAATTGCCCAAAAATTGTCACTTTGGACCTTAAATTCCCCCACCAGAAAATGTTAGCCGCTTTAATTCCACGTTGTAGTCCACTTCATTTTGTATAGTTGAGTGCAAAATTGTCGCTTTGGATTTTACTCTTAAATTGTCCTGCTGAAAAACTTATCTTGGCCGGCCGGCCAGCCGGCCGCTTGAATTCCACATTGTTATCCTCTTTATCGTATAGTTAAATGGCAAATTGCCCCGCCGCATTACTTCCACTTCTTATCATATAGTTGAGTGCCAAATTGCCAAAAATTGTTGCTTTGGGTCTTAATTATTAAATTCTCCTGCCAAAAACGTATCTTAGCCAGCTGCCCCCTTAAATTCCATCGTAGCGTTGATCACCCCCAAATTGTACCTTAAACACTTAAATTTCCCTGCCAAAAACTGTCTTTGCCCGGCCGCATTAATTGCTGGTTGATTTTCCCGCCAAAAAAAAATCACAGGACCCTCACCTGTTTAATTAATTGGATTAAGTTTTCCCGCCAAAAAACTTAGTATGTGGAGCACTCTAACCTTGAACTTGTGCACCCCCCCTCCCACTCTTCCTGTCCCCCTTCCCACACCTACCTTCTCTCAAAGTATGTTAGTTCCAACACTTCTTTGAACATGTAGTCACCACACTGCTACGCAAATACTTGGTTGATCGAGTGCAGTTCTTCCACCACATTAGACTTTAGAATAATCTTTAATGCTCTTCTGGTCGGTCAATGCACTAAGTGTACTCCCCGTGGGATGTCTTTCCGGAGACATTGATGCTTCGACACATCAGTATACCAGTGCAATTGACTGACCAGGAGAGCAAGAGATTATTCTAAAGTCTAATGTGGTGGAAGAACTACACTCGATCAACCAAGTATTTGCGTAGCAGTGTGGTGACTACATGTTCAAAGAAGTGTTGGAACTAACATACTTTGAGAGAAGGTAGGTGTGGGAAGGGGGACAGGAAGAGTGGGAGGGGGGTGCACAAGTTCAAGGTTAGAGTGCTCCACATACTAAGTTTTTTGGCGGGAAAACTTAATCCAATTAATTAAACAGGTGAGGCTCCTGTGATTTTTTTTTTGGCGGGAAAATCAAACTTAAAGATGAATCAGCACAAAATTAATGCGGCCAGGCAAAGACACAGTTTTTTGACAGGGAAATTTTAAGTGTTTAAGGTACAAAGCTACAATTTTGGGGCAATTTGGCATTCAACTCTACAATACAAAAGATAGCCACCTGCCCCCTTAACTTCCATGTTGTTAAGATAATTGGCAGGAGAATTTAATAGTTAAGACACAAAGCAACAATTTTTGGGCAATTTGGCAATTAACTATATGATAAAGAGGATAACAATGTGGAATTCAAGTGGCCGGCCGGCCGGCCATGATAAGTTTTTCAGCAGGAGAATTTAAGAGTAAAGGTCCAAAGCGACAATTTTGCACTCAACTATACAAAATGAAGTGGATTACAACGTAGAATTAAAGTGGCTGGCATTTTTTGGTGGGGGAATTTAAGGTCCAAAGTGACAATTTTTGGGCAATTTGGCGTTCAACTATACAAATACATTACGAAGCAGATAACAATGTGGAATTTAAGCAGTCGGTTGGCCGGCTAGGATACTTTTTTGGGAGAATTCAAGAGTAAAGGTCCAAAGTGACAATTTTTTCAGTGTTGCTGACTACGATTAATGTTAAATGGACCCTCAGAGCAGAGTGAAATAGGCGAAAGATAGAAATGCGTGTGTGTGTGTATGTGGAGTGTTGTCTCGTGTTAATAAAGGAAACATACTCACACCCAACTACCCCATCTTCTTTCCCACAGCTCTACCAATAGAAGTCTGCTTCTTCCTCCTGCTCATTCCGGGCTCCGGGTTCACATCTTGAAGACAGAGAAACAGAAGTCAGTGTATTGAAAACAGCACTTGGCTTTTAACTTAAAATTATGTCACACAACTTGCATGTTTATGACAAGAATGTAGATATAATCATAAACCTCATTC